GCCTTTGGGCGGAAAGCAGGATACTCCCATGGTTTAATTGCAAAATATGTATTTACATTTCTAGAAGAAATGGTCCAAGACTAAACAAAAAATAACAATAAAACTAACATAATTACAGCTACAGTGACAAATGCTGGCCAGTAAGTCTAGTTAGGTAGATGGCTGCCAAGCCAGGTTACTTTGCCATCACTCCATTTGAATGATGCAACCAATATATAGCTAAAAAAAAACCTACTTGCTGCACCTTCAAACTAAATCCCAAATTCAAATTCAATTTCAGACACAGAGTTCATACTCACTCACTGAAAAATTTTAACAAAAACACAATACCACTAAGACATGAGACAAGAGCTACTACGACAAATCTTTCTCAGTAACTGTAACTAATGGTAGACAGCTGGAATTAGGGATGCAAATTTTGACATACGTTTTGTCATACATCAGCGATGAGACATTAAGCTTAAAAACAAGGATGTGATTCATAACAATCTCAATTATAAAATGAATAGTTTCAGTTCTGAAATCTGACTGTCTGAGCTACGTTCAAAAAGCCGCTGTAAAAAACGTGATGTATGCAAACTTATGAGTGCACACATCAACTGAATTAGCATTAAAGCACAGTGATATTAAAGAGTGCTCTTTATATGAACTGTGGAACGTTGTACTGATAGGTGGGACCAGGCATCAGCATGTATATAAAGAGAATGACTTAAAATTGTATTGAACATACCCTACTTGGTTTTGTTTAAACCAAGAGGCTGACAACTGTAATACGTTTACAATTATATGACCAAAACTAAAAAATTTATTAAATCACTGGAAAATAAAACGTTTGGCTAGTGAAATTTATATGTTCTGAAGTTCTAAAGCTATACTGACCACTCAGTACTAGCACAAGCTAAAACTAACGTAAATGCCATGACTGGGCTAAGTTTGGCTAAATGGACCTCAGACGATCTTGAAGGCTGTCACTTGGAGATTATGCTTTTGATATGATACTATGTTGTAGTTGTGCTACCTTTTCTACTATTTTATTAGTAGGACAATATTGTGAAACCAATAGCTTATGCAATTCAAAAACATTCTACTCTACTTGCCTATTCAATCAGGAACCATTTTTATTAGAAATTACAAAAAGTTAATGTTTTTCTAAGCAATAGCATTTGTCGAACAATTGTTTATTTGTTGGTTAATGGCAAATCGGCTCATCATTTACATCCCTAGGTTGTATAGCACAATATTTCACAATCACCACTGTCAGAAATAAAGGTATGAAACTGTCACTGGGGCAGTGCCCCTCTTGTCACTGGGGTGGCACCTTTAAGAGTACATCTCAGTGCCTTTAGTCAGGGAACATAGTTGTACTGTAATCCTTTGAAACTATATTTTCCAAGTTATATTGACTCCACACACCCCCGTCTCATCTCCAGGCTTTTTATTTTATTGCTCTGTTTTAAAGCATTAGCTTATGAAATGTTACAAATACGTACTTTTCACCTGGGAAAAACTTATTTAAGGTACACAATTGGACCTTAAAACCACTGTTGTACCTTTGAAGGTACATTTACATTGTTTGTACCTTGATGAATGAAAAATGTACCTGCACTGAACCTTTATTTCTAACAGTGTAGTTTAAATAACTGCAACCTATTTAGGCCTAGTACTGATCTCTTGCTGCTAATATTCTATATAGCTAATACAAATCCCTATCTACCATACATTTAAATTAGAAACCCAAATTCAACCCCACCGAGACAGAGGGGCATTTTCACTCATGCTTCTGAAAAGTGTTCACATCCAATAATAAAACAACAACACCGACAAGAACTGTTTTTAACAAACAGTGGTCAGTTAATGGTAAACTGCTGAGATAGCAAGTCATTTTGCAATTTAAAAGACTGCAATTTATGCCAAGTACTTATTTCCAAGTACTGGTATTGTACATAGCTAATTTGAAAACCTACTTACAATTATAATGTTATTATAACAGTACTTCGCTCTAATTACAAACCCAAATCAATGCCAGAGAAACAGAAAGCTCATTCTCGCTCATGCTATGCATCAAAGCTTTTGAAAAGTGTTCACAATAATTAATAACAACACATCACCAACGCCTCTGTGTCCCTTTGGATCAGATGCCATCTTATTAAGTTGATACCTAAAGTGATGCTGGTTTAATATACAGAGAGAGAGAGAGAGAGAGGGAGAGAGAGAGAGAGAGAGAGAGAGAGAGTCAGAAAGGCTTTTAATGCTGACACAGGCATAATAGAGCACTGCGGTATTAGTGGCAGGCAGAATAGGCTGTTAGTGTGAAGTGAGATTCTACATGCTGCTAGTAAATTGGACCATATACTACGTCTGGACGGCCACTGTCAGCGCTGCGCATCTCTCTTCCTCTCTCCTGGTATTACTGTCTTTCTACTGCTTTGCAGAAGAGTTATATACACTTTTACTGACCATTCAGTGTCTAAAGCCTCCTGCAGTGCTACAGTTTGCTTCTATTTTGGGATGGTGTTAATTGCAGTGTAAGTATAAAAGCATTGCAGATTACTGTTAATCAAATAGTATGGGTAATCTGGGTAGTTCTACGATGACATTATTTTGAGGGGCGGCAGGTAGGGTTGAGTGATAAAGGACAAATATCACATCACGATACTTAGACATTTTCATGAGACACATCATGTATCACAATAAATTTACACGCACACATAATGCACTAGTAGAGAACCATTTAAAACCAGCAATCAAAAAACTCTGGGTACAATTATTTTTATTCACATTCTGTTCTGCACTAAGTCCAATTAAACAGGACTTAACCATGTTCCTTATGCACCGACAATATCCACAATATGTTCAGAAAAGCATATTGTTTATAATAATAACAAAATTTATCATGATAACAATAAAACATTGTCACATTGCCTTACTAGTAGGGGTGGGAATCTCTAGACATCTCACTAGCCAATGTTGATTCTGATTCAGGGTACCAACACACAATAATAAAACTTTTTTTTTTTCCATCTTGTTTTTTTTTATTCCTGTAGTATATATCATGATTTCTTTCCCCATATTTGTTCACCAGCTTCGCTAAATTGCAATGTAGCCTACACATGGACCAAATGTTACGTCTACAGGCCTACATCTTAATGTTTTAACATCCAATGGGCTTGAATTTAAAGTAGAAAAACTAAGCTACACTTTTATTTGATCTTTTTGTCCTTGATGTCACACTGCATACAATTTAGTATGGATGCACTGATATGAAATGTGAAAACCTAATATTTGTCAATATCTGCCAATGGCAATACATAAACATTTGCAAAATGTAGAAAGTGGGACTACATCTAGCTGGATTAGGATTACAGACATAAAAAACATCACAGATGTATTAAAATGAATTAAATACAGATATTTCAGCACAGTAGTTCAGCATCACCTAAATTGTCTTCCAAAGTACAATAAATACGTCATCAATATCAGTTTGAAAAATTAAAACAAATCTAAACATCTGTCTGATGGTGATACTTTTTTAAGCAATTATCTGTCAATACTTATACAACTTCAGTATCATCAGTTATCATTTCTACAACATACTCCTTCATTCATAATCAAAAATTTCTGGTAGAAAACGTTCGATAGAAAATGATGCATAAGCCTACCTGATTATTAAGTCTGATTATGACATTTCAATGCAGAATTTTTCAAACGAGAAAGAATCAACTATTCTTCCTACTTCTAAGGAGTAGCTACTGTCTTTGACCCAGTTCACATAGCCTAGAGTAAACTGAAATAACCTAGCAAAGAATAGTGACAGCAAACCAATGACTAGATTCTACACACACACCTAAAAAAGATGGTTCTTCGAGTGTTCTTTACCAAAGGCAATGGCTGTATTTGGAACCATTTCTTGTTTAAATGGTTTGTGCATGGTGAAATGGCTCTTTAGATCGATGGATCGATGTATATGGATCTATGAAGAACCTTTTTGAAAATGGTTCTATAAAGCACCAAGAAAGTGTTCTCCCTATTGTTGTGATGACAGGCTTGTAACAGCAGAATAACCCTTTTTGGTGCTATATACAACATATTCTCCATCAATCTGAAGGACCATAAGAATATATAGAACTCACGGCTCTAAACAGAACTATAGCCTTTACTAAAGAAGAAGTTCCCTTGAAGAACCACGTTTTGTAAGTGATACTTTTGAAGGTTTGATGGTCAGAGAAGCATCTAGAGCAACCCGTCTCTAACTCACAGGACTCCGGATGAGACGTAGGAGCAGAGATATTTGGATTGCAAAACATGTTGGCATTCCAGTCTCAGACACAGAGACCTACATCTGGCTACATCAGTGTTTCCCACTCTGCTCAGGTATTTCACAATATAGTGTTCTACTTGTTCCAGTACACCTGATCCACTCATCAGCTCATTCCCAAGCCCCTTACGAGGTCAAAACACTGGTTTAAAAGCACCAAAATGCGTAGTGCAGAGGGGACTGCAGGGACAGGACTGGAAAACAGACAGAAAACTGGGAGCAATGTGGCTTTATGTACAGAGGAGCTGGTAGAAAGAAGGACACCAGCTAACGCTAGTTGTCAAGCTTCCAACAGGTAGGGGGGGATTCTAGCAATCAAGCTGGGGCATGAAAAGCAGCCAAAGAAATGCCTTTTCACACAGGCTGTAGCTTTCCTACGAGCTGTATGTCGTTAAACAACATATTTTTACAGTCTCCACATCATTCAGACCGTAAACCTGCACGAAACCCCCCACCAGCTCTGGTGTGAAGTTGTTAGCGGTTTGTGAACTAACATTAAGGCTAGCTATCATTTTAGTTCAACCTCGTAACCTAAATAAAAAAAAATAAGAGAACGCCAGTATTACTTAGATAGCTTCCCTCAAGGCTATGCACGTTACCTGAAGAGTGAAAATCAGATTCATAATTGAAATAATAATATTTTTCGTTTTCGAAAATAAAAATTTATAAGCAAAAGAAAACTCACCACTTATCAGAGGGTTGGAATCCATGTCTCTGTTAACTGAGCTTCAATTTTCGCCAAGTTACGTTAAATCACGTCCACATATCTGCGCCCGAAGGGATGTCAAAAGTGGCTTCCCTTGAAAGCAGACGGCGACACACGCAAATACGGTTCAGTTTTAAGATTATATAACAGCTCTGTGGCGATAAACACATGCATCTCTGCCTCCATGTTTAACGGAGTCGGGCTGCAGCCGCCGCCACCACCGCCGCAGTGTCGGTTAGGCTAGGCTAGCTGCTAGCTAGCCGCTTTTCGTCGCGAAAAGTAACGCCGAGGACTCTTTCCTGACCGAAAAAAGACAACTTAACCACACAACTGTCGATTTTTCTCCGTGGCAGGACGGCTACAACACCCTCACGGCCTCATAAGAGCAGCAATATGGTGTGGGAAAACGAGTTAAAGCGAAAATTCTCTTCCAAAGAAGAGGCGAAGGTCCAGAGTACAAAAAGTCCTCCGTTTTCCCACCGCAGCGACTGTAAAGTAACAGTAACTGTAAAAACCGCGACACGAACGTCAATATAAGAAAGAAACGCGCCTGCTTAAGTTGGAACAGAAACCACATAACCTACGATCCCTTTACTTTGCTCTGCGTCCCTGCTTCCTGTTTCTACGAAAAAAAAAACGTCTCGACTACTTTGGCATTTTCACTTTTTTCTGCTTTTCGCTCCTCCATCTCTCTCTCTCTCTCTGGAGTCCCTGTGGAGTTCAAACGTCACCGCACACATGACGTTAGTGAGTTAGTTAGTCTCTCTACAGGCAAATGAATGGAGGAGGTCGGACGTAGTTAAGATTTTAATGCATCTGACATTTGTGGGGCTGAAACTGGGGGCTGTTAAAACAGAGGGAAGAATGAGAAAGCCTTCTTTTTTGCAGGGCAGATTGTGTGTGGTTCACTGCTGTTGTTGTGCGAGTTCATGTACTGTACGTGCCAAGGGCAATCCACAGGTAGTCGCCTTGCACACGTGACTGCAGCCTATAAATGGGAACCCCTGTAATACTGACACAGTACAGTGCAAAAGTCAGAGAGTACCCCTTTATTTATTTCATTTCTAGCCATTAAGTACTCGTTATTTATTTTTTAGGAGATGTTTGGGTAGATTAGATATAATCCACCTGCATAAGGAAGGGAAATGTCAATGGAAAATAAGTGGAAAAAAACAACAGGAGTTTCCAATTCAAATGTGTTTGGGAAGCAGAACGTGCAACCAACTTCTAAGACTGAACTTTGGAGGTGTGAAAAAATATCCCTGGATTTCTTTGAAAAACATCTGTCAAAAAGAGTGGAAGCTGGAATAAAGGCAAAGTGTGGACGCATTAAATATTAAACATTTTGATATTATTTTTAGCTGGGATGTTGAGACTTTTGCATTATTTTGTTTCTTTTTTGAGGAATAACTTGTACCGTTCTGGCTGGAAACTAATGAAGGGAGGGCTCTGACTTGCATTGCACTGTACTTATAATGATTTGTAGTGTTTTTTTCTTAATAATGTATGTTTTAAAAAAGGAAACCATTTCACAAAGCATATATGTGCCAGCCATCCTGTGCACATGTGATGGCATGAAACTTTACCGAGTTCAAGATGCCTTAGAAACCTCAAGACCTGTGCACAAATGTCAGCTAAATCTTAATGAAGCAGGCGATGTTTGCCAGCATCTGTTCCATTCCTACAAACAAGGCATATCAAATGGAAGGTGTGTGATGCGCATGGTTACGGCATGAATCCATTTGTGCCAGTCAAAGCCACAGAACAAGGCACGTCGTACTGATCGTGTGATGCACATGCTTATGCCATGAGTCCATTTGTGGCAGTGCGTCTTTGTACAAAGAAAAATAAATCTATTTCAGGAAGCAGGTCTTACACTGCTGCCACAATTCAACATCCAGTTTCCATGGCAACTAGTTACTAGTGTGACAGGGTATCCGTCACAGTGATGCTGAAGAAGCTGAGATATAAGCTCTCCCCCCTCATCAACTTAACGAATTAAAAGTTCAGTTAATTGTCAATTAATAAGCTATCAATTACTAACCAACTCAAAATTGCCAAATAACCCCCATGTTTCTTATCATTCAAATGTATGTGCAATCCATTTAATTAGAAGCCTAGTATTCATACAGCTTTATAAACTAGGTTCTAGGACTTGTGGGCACTATGCACAAGGGCGAACTGTTAAACTAAATCTGAAGTTTAAGGCTAAATGGTTAAATGAATTAGATATGAACTAGAAACCAAATATAATGACTGCCACTTCCATCCACTGACTTTTGAGCATGTTAGTGCACCACTACATTGAAAAGACAAAAATAACTGTAGCACATTGTTCTGGGCTGTCTATATTAAATCCCAAGCACTGTTGCAAACAACTGTATTGGTAAAAGAGGTTGCACAGAGGAAATGTACCAAATGCACTATAATAAATGTGTTATTACTCTACATGAACCCACAGGACTGAAGAAATGTCCTGTGCCACATTCAGTTCAGGGTACTGGCTCTTTTGCAACATTTGAATAACCAATTGCGAGTGTTCTAACTGAAAACAAAGAAATATGGCATGACAGCTGAAGAAAAATGCATAATGTAATGATTAATTGTCAAAGCTATTGGAACGGGTATGACCAGGAGTGCCAAACAAACAATTTAGTGACGACTTCAAGAGCGAGGAGGACATGAGTCACATATTTGCAAGGGGAAATTAGTCAGTCTTAGGCAGAGTCACTAAAAACCATTACAGTACTCACCGCTATTCAAAATAAGCTGTCATTTATTGAATCCATCAATTTTGTAACATAACAGTACAACCTGTTAAGAAACCAAGTCCCATTGAACTACATTGTTCTGCACAATGGTTACACCACATGATGCCCAAACCCATCTCAGTCATGCATACTTTCTCAAAAAAAAGCATAAAGTATGACAATGAGGTGTCATCTTGCAATCAAAACACCTCTCTCCTTCCGGGCTCAGGAAGATCTTTCAGACCCTGCAGTTCCCTTAAACCCTGTGGGGGACAAAGTGCACATTTTCTTTACTGCTTGTTAAGTCTTCTCTACGTACTGTTATCAGTTAATAGAATTGAAAATGAAAAAGAAACAGAAACAGATAGTAAAATGAAAAAGTCTACCTCCAAAACCATGCGAATGTTTGCTTTGATTTTTGCTGCATCTTTAGTAAGAACCTCAGTATACCTGCAACAGCCAAGGAAGAATAAACATCTCAAATAGGTGAAAAAAATTAGTTAAGCAAAATGTTAATCACAACTAGAGATGGCACAATACCATTTTTTTCTTTTCTGATATCAATACTGAAACCTTACTGAAACAGATGTGATATTTTTTCTTTAAAATCTAATAAGCTTTAAAAATCATTATTTTTATCATTGAAGCAATTCACTCAAGATGGACATCTATGAGGCTGTTTACACCTTGCATCAACATGCGTTTGGGTGATCAGATCACGTTCAGATTTTACATTGCTAGAAGAAAAGATGCTTATGACACACTGTGATCGGATTACAATCAGATCCCATTCTGAGGTTTTAAGAGACTGATCTTGATCACATTACACACAAATATAAAGATTCTATATCCAAATACAATTCCGTAAGTGGAAATGCATCTGTTGAGTGCTGACCAGCAGGTAAGAGGACAAACAAATGATAGACATGCAAGGCTGGATTGCCTTCTTGCACTCTGGGTTGATGAAAGCATCCAAGCAAAGTTTATTGATTTGTATCATAACAGAGAAAATGTAAATAGAAGAAAAACAGAAACGACATATGTGTTGATGTGCTTTTTATGTGGGAAAGTTCTCATCTGGTTACAGTAGGGATGCATTTCTGTGATAAGTGCAGATGGAAACTGGCCAAAGTCCTGATACAATCTGGACATGAACCACACATTAACGCAAGGTGTAAACAGCACCGAAAAGTGAACAAACACGCCACGCAAAAACTAAACGACCACTTTCAGGCTACGTCAGGCTACATATACCTGGTATCGGATTGGTACCATCTCCAATTATAACTGTGTCTAAGGATCTTACTCTGTAAGCTGGCTGGTCTTTTTCTCTATGAACGTCAAAGCTTCAGAGAGCGTGAATTCCACAAAAAATCCATATCCAACTGCAACAAAGATTTTGGAAGTGTCAGGACTGAAAGGGAAAAAGAAATATACTTTAGTCAGGCATAGAGAGGCACATATGACACAAAGTGCGGACAGAGAAGCCAAGAAACCGCACTTACACATGAGCTTGAACATAGAAATTACAGCCAAGGTCTACATCTGTCTTCAGTTCTTTGCTGTCAGTTTCCTGAATGGTAGAAAAAGATCAGTCAGTTCTGAAAACGTCAAACCACTGACTGGATTTCACACAAGCACGTTTTAAGCTGTTTTGCATGGAAAGATGGGCTGAGCGAAGGTGAAAATGGGAATAGGAGAGAGAGAAAGCTAACAGAAGTCAGACGCAAATGATGTCATATTATGAGCTTCTGATTTTACCTGAATGCTTTTAATTGTATTCTTCAGTTGAAGGTATTGTGCAATTTTTTCATATACACCATCTCTCTGCTCCAACACTTTCCTGGTGACACAAACAGTTGTATTTAAAAGTCAAACAAACGCGTTTTACTTACTTACAGCTGCAACCTTACATGTCAGTGTAACGTTATACTCACTGTAAATCTCTCTTCAGTACGTCATTGATAAAAGACTCGTACTGCAGGACTTTGTCGTCGATCGTGGGTTTGACAGAAGTCATTGCGGAAAGCAGTTACCGTCGCGGTTCCCACACGATAAGGTGCTTTAACCCTGAATACAGACTGTTTCAGATGGCCTCTTTAAAATGATACACTACGATGCCGAACCTGCTCAATCCTCCTCTGCATCAAGGCTAAAGTCACACTTCCTTCGCTGGAACTGATGAACTGATGAGCACAGAGAACCTGCTAGCATGCTAGGCTCCGTTTCACCGGCGATCTGCTTCTCTCTCACAGCACACAGGCCTAGAAATTTACCTCATTTTTACATGACATATATCTACTATTTATTGATTTGTATCGATCAAACGTGCGACACGTGAGAATAATCGACTTGTTTACAAGGTACAGGAAACGGTCGCGTCGAGTAGCAGGAAATGACGCAGTTAGATTTTTTATTTCTTATTTACTTTTTAAAAATAACTGAAAAATTTTACCCCCCCCCCAAATTATACATGCACACAGTATTTATAGTTTGACATATTTATATGATATTTACTTTTTTAAAGATATTTATTTTGCTAAAGGAGACATGAATATACGGTCAAGAAGTTTATATAAAAATATATTTTAGATTTATATATGTTTGTCTATAGGGTTCTTTTTACATTATTTATATAATAATAATAATAATAATAATTTATTCAATAATAATTATTTATTAAATAATAATTATTTATTAAATAATAATAATTATTATTATTATTTTCATAAATAGTTTAAAAAAAGAAGTTGCTCAAGTCTATTCCCTACAACTGCCATGTTACTTATAATTAAAGGCTATTTAGATTTTAGTTTTAGGGACTTTGTAATACAATGGAATTGAATTAAAACGGACATTGACTTTTACTGCTGAAACATGTTGCTCTATAAAGACTTGACTACCACACGATCAAAAACTTGGTGCTCAGGCTCTTCCATAATAAAAGCTTCTAGTTCAAAGGGCAAACATTAGCCGGCTAGTTAGCGTTAGCTTAGCCGTTAGCGTAGTCACTGAAGTCGGAGTTTAAATTTAAAGAAGCTCAGTTTTTCTCTAAAGGGCGACTGTTTGTGTGCTGTTGTGGTTTACAAGCGGTGACGGGACAGAACTTGTTAGGTTATATGAAATATTTAATTCAAGTTGAACTTTAAGGCTAACCAGGTTAGCAGTGTTAGCCGAGCCATGCGTCTCCAGCACACAGATGCAGAGTTTAGTTAGCGTTGTAGCTAAGTGACTTCGTAGAGTAGTGTATGTAACGTTAGCTTATGTTAAGGCTTCGTGTGACTTTTTTAGTTTTCTAACTTTAAAAAATCACGAATCACGATTTATATTTCTCAGTAACTTTGGTGAAGTGGGTGGGATAAATGTGCTTGTTGGTTTGTTAACTTGTCTGTGTTTCAAATTAGGTTGGTAAGTTAGTTATTATTAACTTTTGCCCGAACATGGCTGGACCAGAGCTGCTCTTGGACTCCAGTATCCGTTTATGGGTAGTTTTGCCCATAGTTTTTATCACGTTTTTTGTTGGAGTTTTGCGTCATTATGTCACCCAACTTTTACAAAGTGACAAAAAAGTGGACCTGGAACAAGTGTCTGACAGGTGAGATGACATCTGACTTAAACATATATACAAAACCAGTGTATTCAGACAGTGCTGAACAGCTGAGACACACACTTAAAAAATGGTTCTTCAAGGGTTCTTTAGGAAAGGCAGTGGTTTCCTTTAGAGTTCTACATAGATCCATGTCATGCTTAAATGGTTATTTGCATGGTGAAATTGTTCTTCAAATTGATGGAGAATGTGTTGTAGATGGTTCTACATAGCACTAAAAGCAGGTTCTTCTATTTTTACAGGCTTGACATAGTAACAGTAGCAGAACTCTTTTGTTGCTATATAGAACTGTTTTCAAAAGATTCTATATAGAACTGTACACAACACATTCTCCATCAATCAGCATGCAAAGAACCATTTAAGCATGAAATGGTTCTATCTAAAACTCATGGTTATAGATGGAACCATTGCCTTTACTAAAGAGCCCTTGAAGAAACCTTTTTTGAAGTGTGTAGTGCTGGGCAATGTTTACTCCATGTTAAAAAATAGTTTGTTTTGTTTGGGCTGTTTTTATTATTGAAAATCTTAGACTGACTCAACGCAGATTTCCATAAGGAGGATTTGTGGGTTTTCAAATGTTCTTTGACACAATCTGAAAGCACCCAGCAAATGACATACATTGCAGTTAACTGCCATGTCTTGGATACCATGAGTAACATGCACTGAATAGAGTAAACAAACTAAAATTTTACTGGCTGGGAACAAAAATGCCACAGTTTTCTGAGTTTTCTGGACATTATCTCATGGATATTTCTCATTATCTATCAAGAACATTGCTAAAATAACTGAAAAGCTTTATCACAGTATGTCATGCTATACCTGTATAAATGATGTGTCACCCAGCCTTGTGAAGAGGCTTAATGTGTATCAGTTTATCTGTTTGTTTGCTTACTTACTCACTCATTCATAGATGCATTCAATTATTAATTCATTCATTTGCAGCCAGGTGTTAATACGTAGCCGTATTCTGAGAGAGAATGGAAAGTACATCCCTAAACAGGTAATGTTCAAACTTTAATTAACATCAAAGCTAGCTTATATGGTATTAACAGTAAAACCCTTTACCGTCATCTGCTCACATGGAGTCCACAGCAGCATTGTGCACAGCACATTCATTCTAATTCTAACTGTAACTCAGTGGATTAGCATGGCCAGTTTTCAATAGAAGCAGTCCATTTTGGCTTGTGTTGATTGTTGTTGATCTCTGTTCCATTCCAGTCGTTCGCCATGCGAAAACATTACTTCAACAATGCTGAAACAGGCTTCTTCAAGAAGGTCAAGAGGAAAGTGGTTCCCAAAAACCCAATGACTGGTAAGGCCTGAAGTTTCACATGGAAATTTTTCTTTTAAATTGGTAATGACATGTTTGTCTCAATATGAGAATATGATTATTTAAATCACAAGTGGTGTTTGAAGAACATTGAGGAGGAACTGAACCTCTGAGGACGCTTCAACCAAAAGAAACATGCTGTAAAACAGAATCACACAACAGTTCCTTTTAACAATATTTGTCTCTTTTTCAGACCCCAGCATGATGACCGACATGATGAAAGGAAACCTCACCAATGTACTGCCAATGATTCTAATAGGTGGATGGATCAATTGGGCATTCTCTGGATTTGTGACTAGTAAGTAGAGCTGGTTTCAGGGAAAGCTCCATAATAACCGTACCTTCCTTGTAGTTTTTGTGACTTCTAAAGTGACATTCAGGTGACATCACCTGACTTATCTTGTTTGTGGAATAAAAGTAAAAAAGAATGATCTTCTATGTGGTAAAGTATCTTTTATATTGCCGACACTATTGTGCTTGTTTTGTTTTCCACAGCTAAGGTTCCCTTTCCACTGACCCTGAGATTTAAACCTATGCTGCAGAGAGGAATTGAACTGGTGTCGCTGGATGCATCTTGGTATATTGTTGACTTTTTTTTAATTTGATTCGTTGCAGTTCTTCATTTATTGCTAATGTTACTGGTAGTAAATCCACAGAAGCAGTCACAAGTTGTAAATTAATCAGACTAACCAGTGACTAAGTGAACAACTGATTATTAGGTTAGACTACCGACTATTATTTTAAATATGCTTTTTAAATCTGTATATCTCTTGCAGGGTAAGTTCAGCCTCTTGGTACTTTCTGAATGTCTTCGGGCTACGGAGCATGTACTCTCTCATACTTGGACAGGACAATGGTAAGCTTATTTATTTATTTATTTATTTACTTACTTACTGACTTATTTATTTACTTATTTATTTATTTATTTATTTATTTATTTATTTAGAACTGGTTCAGTTGTATACAGTAAGGCTTTACATTACTCATGCTTAAAATTAGACGTAATTCCAATTTTTAAAGGTGCCTTCTGACCTAAAAGTATGATTTAATGTTATTTGTTGTGTTCTGTAATATTCTGTAGTGAAGAATTGCATCCTTCAGCCTTTGACAGAAATCACTATTTTGTATCTTTTTTTTTATGTTTATGTCTATCAGTGTTCTCTCACTCCAGTGGAAATATGTCACACATCCAGTGGGTATTTCCCTCACAGTGTTAAAGAAACCCTGACTGCTAGTGTAGCCACTGATTTAGAGCCTAATAAATACAGTTGTGATAATCAGCTTTCTATATTTTTAGCTAGTTTTCTTCTGCATGAGCCAACATTAAAAAAAAAACTGTCCCTTGAGTATCCACCCCAAAGCAGTTGGTGTTTTTTCAAAAATCCTCCCACCTTGAAGATACGCCACCAGATATGGGCTTTCCTTATCTCTAAACCAGAAAATTTCACTCTGGAGACTACTGCTGCACATTTGTAGGATGCGAGTAGGCATGTTTACAGCAGATGTAGTGATGGTTACAGTGGTGGTTATATTTTGTTTCAAGTTCCCCTTTAATAGTTTGTAGACCTGAGTATCAACAATAACAAATATTGTTACTGTTTCAGAAAGTGTAAGCCCTTTGCATTTTTTACAGCTGCGGACCAGTCAAGAATTATGCAAGATCAAATGACTGGAGCAGCTATGGCTATGCCGCCTGACCCCAACAAGGCCTTCAAGGTGAGGACTGCTTTAAGTCATCTCCTTGGACATAAACATTGTAACATTACCCTTGTATGGTTACAGGTTTTGGACGTATTTATGAAATTGTGTGCAGAAAATGAAAGTAATGCAGTCCACCTTTATCTAAGCCACATATCCTTCTGGGTTGCGGGGCTGTTGGAGCCTATCCCAGTAGTCACTGGGCGGAAGGCAGGAAACACCTGGACAGGTTGCCAGTCCATCGCAGGGCAGACACACACACATACACACCTGGGGCAGTTTAGCGTGTCCAGTTGGCCTGACTGCATCTCTTTCGACTGCGGGAGGAAACCCACGCAGACACAGGGAGAACATGCAAACTCCACGCAGAAGGGACCCTGGTCACCCGGCCAGGGAATCAGACCTAGGCCCTTCTTGCTGTGATGCGACAGCACTACCCACTGTGCAACCATGGCAGTCCACTTAAGAACTAGAAATTTCTGTTTTAAATTTTAAGTGGTATGCACAAAAGTGGAATGTTATTCAGATACAAACCGAGTGTAACCCCAGACTAAAAAGCTTCACCAGAGTACAGTTTAGTCCAAAGCACTTGTACATGTAGTGGTTGATGCTCAGAGTTTTCTTTTGTGTTGAAAAGCATGCTGTTTGTATTGTAGCAGTTATGCTGATTTTTCAAAACGTCTGCATTATTCAGTTATTGAAATTTAGAGTGTTTTGATATGAAATGGTTCACTGTGTAGAAACTTTCTGACTTGGATTTCTTTACAATACAAACCAGGGGTTGCAATGCCTACGGCACAAAAATAGCCATCCAGCCATGAGGAGTACACATGTAGTCTCAGAGTTTATATGTAATGTTCATAATGATAAAATAGTGGTAAATCTGAAAAATGTATTTTTCTTTAGGGAATGTTTTGTCTTGCATGCGCCTCTCCGCCATGAATGGATTTTTTTAAAAAACGCGTTTTTGGGCCAAAACCTCGTAAAATCAATCTTTAAACAATGTCTCGGGCATAACGTCAGGAATAATCATTCCTAACCATTTGCGGGAATTATTTTTTGTGAGGGAGCTTCGAGGCATTAACCACATCAGACTTCTGGTTTTTATTACCACCGCTGCGAACGATTCGGACAGTTTCTCTAGAATGGAGCATTTCACATCAAACCACTCTGAAAGACTCTTTACATCTTAACCATTTAATTATGCAAAATGTTGAAATTTCTCCTGTAAGATAACTGAATAATTCACCCAGTTTCAGTAGTTAAAACAGTTACCATCTTTTTTCTTTGTTTTAGAGTGAATGGGAGGCTCTGGAGATTGTTGAGCACAAGTGGGCTCTGGAGAACGTCGAGGAGGAACTAATGTCCCGAGACCTGAACTTTCAAGAACTCTTCAGCCAAGAATGCAAACGGAACGTGTTCTGATGGTAGCAGTAACACAATATTTAAAGTGTAATCTGATGGTAGTTTGTGCACTGTTACCAACATAACCCCCCAGAATAATTATTCATCCTTTATTTTTCTTCTTTTTGAAATAGCAGATCATTTGAATTCTCCAGATCTATTATTTAGTGAGCCTGAAATGTTTTAAGGGGTATTTTGATGTCTGAGAGAAGGTATTGAAGATGGTAGATGTACAGACTTCAAGGGCAGCTGCCATCCAGTGATTAATTTAATGAGTGCTTGTGTAAATGCAATGTTAACAGTACAGTAGAGAACTGAGAGGGAATGGAATAAATTAGTATTCTTGTTCTTGTTTCTTTGTTCCTCTCATCTCAACTCGAAGCTGCCGTTATTTTTTTGGTACACCAAATATTTTTTTGTTCATGTGCAGAGTATTATACTTCATCTTCAGTATTGCCTTAACTGGTGGTCTGTGTTTTGAAGGCAGATTTAATTTAGCTGTGTTGTTTGTTTTTGTGTGTATCAGCTGATATTCTGTTGCTTGTACCACTCATGCCTTCTTCTCTCGAAGTCTTCCTTTAAAGGAGAATTCCACTATTTTTCAAAATTCCAATATAAGTAGTTAAGATAGAAGCCATTTGGAATGGTTTGATGTGAAACACTCAGTTCCAGAGAAACATAGTCAGAATTCTTCACAGTGGTAGTGATAGGAACCAGACATCTGAAGAGTTTTATTACCTTTAAAAACTCTCTCACAGACAGTTACAACAAGAAATGGTTATGAATATGCTGCCTGATGTCACAGACATTGTTTTATAATAGTTTTGAGATGGAAGATTTTTGGTCTAAAACATTTTTTTAGATTTGCCACTATATTACTATCATTAACATTACATATAGACACATGTAGGTTCGCTGGTGCTTTTGGATAGTAAACAAAATATTTATACTCAATATTTGCATTGTAGACACACATCCTGCTTCCTATCACCACCACTGTAAAGAAATAGTCTGTAAGTTTCTCTACAATAAATCATTTCAGATCAAACTTCACTGAACCACTTCTACGTCTCAACAACTGAATTATGCAGAAATTTTGAAAAGTCAGTGGACTTCCCCTTTTAACTGCTTTCTGTTTCTATAATGAGAAATTGAATGTAGCGACTCTATTCTGATCACTGCCTATGAGTCAGAAATTTCACTGACAATAAAATAATAAGCATTTGATGGGCATCCTTTGGTGATGTGGAAATGAATTCATGACTGTTGTGTGATGAAGCTGGTTAGGTGTTGGAGGCGGATATGGTTCACCACACACATTTCCTCTGATGATTGCTGCAGAAATGAATCAGATGTCTGAGGAGAAATGGATCGATTTTCAGACAGGATAAGGCCCTATCATTGTTTATTACAGGTGAAAGACTGGTGACATTAGTTTGTTCCGATTCTACACAACATTGTAAACCATGTGGAAGGGAAAAAAAGACACTGTACACTCATTACATAAATTCTTTATTTTATAACGTATACTTTCTTTACAGAATGGCTTCCCAGTGTGTGGACTGATCCAAAGGCTTGATCAAAGCATTTTTCACACAGGACTATGAAGAATCCATTCTAAATCATTATATTTGTTCATTGTGCACATGCTGTGTAGATTACAGGATTGTGCAATATACAACTCTCTTGAGCCTAGGTCTAATGATTAAAAAGCCAGTGGAATGTGTTTGGAAACGTCTTTTCCTGCTGGTTGAAACTGGAAAATGTGGCGTATATATATGTTTATTATAATCTGCTTTGACATTTACTGTGGTGCTTAAAAATTTGTAATCCTCTATTAGAACTCGCTGGTTCAAGTGCTGCTGTTTTACGTAAAGGCCGAAATCAAACAAGACCAGACAAAAAATGAAACAAATTTTCCTCCAGCAGCAGAGCATATTTAAAAAGAAAATGTTTTTTTGTATAAATATGGAAGACAGGGTTATGTGGAAAAAGCACAGTGGCGTTGATTGCAGAAAATGAGGTGTAAAAGTTTAGCTCATTCACTGTCATTAAAGCAGATATAAAACACCAATAATTCAAAAGTGCAAAAATTAGAACTTGTTCAGTGTGCAGCTGTCATGTAGAGGGGTGCTGGAGATTTTTAGACGCAAAGCGCTTCGTGGATCTGGCGTGAAAGGCATTCACGTTTAGCAGGCTGAAGATTCTCCACAAGGTGGTGCTGTTAGCACTCAACTCGCTTTTGGTGCTTTGCATCAATGACACTGTGCCCTTGTTTTTTCTTTTAAACTGCTCATGTAATTGAGAAACAGGTCAAATCAAGAACATGCCCATTCCCAGTGGATGCAAAAAGGAAGGTGCTAACAGGTTGAAGGGTGGTCAAAATAATAACTGATAATACTGAGTGTATTAAAAAGACATTAGTTAACATTTAGTAAGTACAGGGAGGATTACTGATAGCATCATAAAAAAAAGAGCCCCGATTCTATTTCTGAGGTAAAATGAGTTGATGGAAGTCAGATGTTTCATACAAAGCGTAGAATCTACCTCAATACTATATATAATCGTCATTTATTCATATCAAAACATGAGTATACAATTATATTCCATATATTAACAAAATAAAAATGAAAGCTCACCCACCCCCAGCATCTGATCCATATGATCAAAGATATTTATTACAATACAAAAATACTGTACATATGCATTTTAAAAATGATTAAGAGCTCTATCCAGAAAGCACTGAAATATTGTCATTGCTCCAAAGAGTTAATTATAAATTGCACGCAATTAATGAAAAAGAACGTAATATTTGTAGCCTCCTTTTTTTGTTTTTGTTTTTAACCCTAACCCTTTCATTAAAGATAAAAATACAAATCTACGGCTGAAAAATATGTCTCTGTTTGTGTCCTGCAACAGAGTGTCTTTTCCAGACATTGCAACAGTGGAAAAAGATGACAACGAGAGAGAAAAAAAAATTGTGGAAGCATTTGAATTCTGCCTTTGACAGCAGAGACATGGATGTGTTGGAACTGTAATTAAAACTCACTCATTATCCACATCTGGCAGTTAAGAAAATAAATAGTTCACGAGTGAGTAGATACAAAGCTATATTACACAGTCACCTAAAATACTTTTGCGCCTTTTGCTAATAGAGGTTCACAGAAATCATACTGCAACAGTTAAATTTCTGACCACTCTGTCCCTGATATAAGTGTGAGAAAGGAGAAAAATAACCTTTAAAAGGACAGTTTAACCAAAAATACCAACATTACTAACAGCGAATAAAGGCTATACACACATAATGTTGACTGACTAGCTTTCGTTTTTAGTCATGTCAGCACTTCTGTTCATCTGTTCCTTTAGAGCATGCTTTCCAGCATTCAGAAGAAAAAAAAACCCTATCCATAGAGACATAACAGAACAATCAAAAGCTCTGATACTGAAAAGCATTTTCTGAAGCCAAGAAAACATAATAACACAACTAATACGTGAGTATCAGGATACAGATCAACCCAGCCTCGGACTGAAGTACATCAGTGGAAACTCACCAGTTAAACTGTCTGCATTGGCACTGTTCCGCTACCTGGTTCACCATTAGCTTTTATGCACTATTAGTCACGTTAGCATGTCTGTGTGAAATACTCCTTTTTAGGAATGGTTCAAATACACACAATTTTCCCCTCAACCCCATAGCTGATCAGTTAAGACATGTTTGACATCTGAAGTTCTTTAGTTTTGTACTGGAGCTACGAGGTTAATACAAAAGTCCATGGCACTCAGTAAGACCTGTTAGCTAGATTAGCCTCACAGCTTCAGTGCAAATCTGAAGAAACCAAAGAATTTGTGGGAAATCGACTGTGGCGTAAGGGGAAAACTGTATAAATTCGGTTTTTCGGTGAAGCATTTCTTTAATGTTTATGAAAAATAATCCCAGAAAAAAAAGCACAGCACTGAGGTTAAAAGGATACAATGTGAAGCTGAATTCATGGTTTAGCAAGACGTCTGCAGTCCAGGATAACTGAGTAAAACTGAATAAAGGGCCACTGAGTTAGGGATGCACCGAATCCACTTTTTCCCTTCCGAAGCGATACCACAAACATACCAGTACCGATCCGATGTCTACATAACAACTACTCGGATATAAATTCCTAAATTTATGCAATTACACAATTTTTTCGGTATGCATTCTATGTCGAATAAAATGTTTACGACATTTATTGGTTGTTATCTTCACATTTGAATAGTTTCTGAGCTGCAAAAACATTGCTGTGCTCAATGCTATGGTTTATCTTAAATTACTAACATATCAAAATCATTGCTGGTCGTGGAAATCCTACAAATTCTGATGTTTTATATTTTGCAGTGAGGATTTGTCCTACTGCTCTTCTGAAGCGCGATACTCCCACACCGCTGACGCTGTTGCTTGCTTCAGTTAAGCTCTATCTACTGGCAGCCTTCAGAAGTTGCTACACCTCACTGGTATCCTCTACTGCTGATACTGTGTTTAAGTGCCAGTATTGTCCTATTTTTCAGATTAAGCCTAGCTTTATAAAAAAGGAATATTCTTCAAACAGTGTATTTTAATGCAAAACTAGGCTTAATGTCTGAAGTTAACCTGCTTAACCATGAACTTAGCTTTGCAGTTTATCCCTTAGTTCTGAGGTTGCGAGTTTGATTCATAAAGCGAGACTGAGGGTGCAGATCTTGATCAGTTCTGCATGTATACGAATGCAGGCCCAGCACGTAGCTGAAAGAAAAGCAGCTTATCTTGCTCTGAAAATCAGAAGAAGCAGTCGCTGAATGGATCCAGTGATGAATGGCTGTGAACCACAACTCAGCGGCACACCCAGCCTGCACAGATTCTCTAAGAAAGAAGAGAAAAAAAAAACACCACGATGGAGCAGCACAAACAAACCATGTGGTATGCGGATCTGCCTCCACCGGCCCAACCAGTCCCTGTGCGCTTCTCGTGAAGAAGGAATAACTACAACCTGCAGTCCCCTATCTATGATGCCTCCGCACCAGCCTGAGAGAGTAGCCCCTGCCTCCCACTTACCCGTTTTGGTTAGAGAAGAGGCAGAAGGTTCAAGTTTTTCTTTGAAAACAAAACAATAATTAGTCATAAAAAAACCTCCCTCATTAACCTGAGAGTGGGAGAGAACACAAATAAAGAGGGAGACGGCAGGAAGGCAAGGAAAACAAACAAAACAAAACGGACATCGGTGGAGCTGTTTCAGTCTATCTCCATGGCTCCACCCACTCCGTCGTGGTTAGTGGAAGTGATATGATTATCAGGTGGAGGAAGTGTCGGCTGGCGGATCTTGTCTTGGCGCTGGTAGAACAGAAGGTAGGCAGCGTTGGTCTAAAAGACGAAGAAAGAGATTGATGACTTTTTAAGATGCTTTCACTCATGTTGTTTATAGGACCCATATCCTTCATTTTTCTTGTGTGTGAGGACCAATTAAGACGTTTGTGTGGTTGCACCAAAAACAGTCGTGATTAATTTTTACATGAACATTTTTCAACCTCTCTTTATCCATCAGAATTAAATTTGATCAGAAACAATTTACCTACTACATAAAATCCATATTTAATTTAATTAAAATTTTATTTAAAAAGACAGATAAATGATGTTTTCCATTATATAGGCTCCTTAACGCAGAAAGAAAGGAAATGTCAAATGGTAAATCCTGGCCTGTACACCTCGTACAGCCTACAAGCGATGTGGGAGAAAGTGCAGAATACCAAGCATTCAGATGCAGTTATTCATATTGCGTCAAAAAATACTGATTGCAAAAATATGCAAACATACATCATTTTGGGGGTAGTTTTCTCACTGACAAGCTACTGATAAACAGATTCTGTAGCTTTTAATCCTTTAGATGGAAACATAGCTAACCTATGCTAAGCTAAGTGAAATGCTTCAATTAAAGATAGGTTATGAAAATGCAACACAGTGCACAGCCGTGTCTATTAACAGGGTTTTTATTACATTCCCTTCAGGCTAATCTGAACAAGAGTTCTTTTACTAAGGGAGCTTTGGATTCAGATGATTAGAGATGGTCACTCAGACTGTAAAAACTACAAACACCGAAGATTCATAGTGGATTAAAATCACTTCACAATTACTACTATCAGACTGAAAAAACTACAGACACTGAAGATTCACGCTAGATTAAAATCACTTTACAATTATTACTGTCAGACTATAAAAACTACAGACACTAAAGATTCATACTGGATTAAAATCACTTCACAGTTATTTCTGTAAGACTGTAACAATGATGCACAGCAGAGTCATACTGGATTAAAACTACTCCACACTGAACAATGACAGACTGCAATATCTACCCACACTGCAGATTCATATTTATTACTGTTAAAACTTATCCAGCTCAAATAGGGCTGAACTCATTCTTACCACAATTTGTTCTTCCTTTGCACAGGTCACCTTGCTGTCATCAAAATAATACCACTGCCCATTGTCCTTGTTCCGAGCGTAGCTGGTATCTGGACAGGAAGAATGGAAAAAAATAAAAATAAAATTCAGCACTCTGATGTATGAGGAGTCAAAATGTGATGATTTCTTTTTGGAGTCATGCAGTTAGCAACGTTTTGCTGTGTGGTGAAAATTACAGGACAACTCAACCCTACAACACTAAAGGGATTAACTGTGACTGAAAACTAACACTGTCACTTGGCATCATGTCAGGCTAACTAGAAACTGTAGTTTTCATTAACTGTTAATAAACATGAGCTTTGACTGGTTGAACTCTCTCCTTAATAGGGCATCTAGAATGAGTGAAACGTACAGTGTCCGTCCCGGAGGCCCCCGTAGTGGTTCGATACAGCGATCAGGTCATATCTGCTGGGAGGTTCACAGTCAGTCCCTGCTTTCCTCAGGAGACAACCAGAGAAGTCCAGATGTCTGCAAAGCATGATGGGATGAGAAATTAAGACAGCTGCTACTTTCATTTTCACCACGAATCTCCATGTCTACAGCCTTTATGGCTTCTGAGTATAACTCCACTACTCAGAGGGAATTATCACTGCATGATAGACACTGTATTACAAACTTTAAGAGTTTGAAAGAAAGAAAGAAAAAGAAAGAAAAAAAAAAAACAACACTCCTGCTAACCGTAAAGGGAAGTCAACAATGGTGTCCAGTTTCTCGCGGGAATACTTGGTGTAGGAGAAGCGTTTCAAGTGGATGATTAAAACTTCAGGAAGAGACCACAGATCCAGCTTCTTAGTCGCAAGCTGGTGCTTCTTGCACGTCGGGCAATACCTTAAAAATATCAGTGCCTTTAGTTACAAAGTTAAATATGTTGTGTTTTTCCCTATGTTTTAATGAATATTAATGTACAATCAGTGAACCACTTTTTCCCTAAATTTATAAAACTCATTTGTACGATGAATCTTTGTGACTAAATCTGTAAAAAGCTAACACTTTACTAGATTTTTATGAAATAGAAACAAGAGATATAAACATTTCTGCAATATTAAACTGTTAATATGTAAGCACAGTCATTTAGAGTGCTTTGATGTGAAATGCACCACTCTAGAGAAATTTAAATGGTGATAGGAGCCAGAAGCCGGAGGTGTTTAATGCCTCTAAAAGCTCCCTTGGAGAAAGTTATGACATGAAATGTTTATGGATTTGTGGTCTGATTTCAGAGACATTGTTTTATGATAGGTCTGAGATAAAGTTTGGCACAAAACATATTTTTTTAAATCCATTCATAGCAGAGAGGTACATACAGAGTGTAAGACAAAACTACTGACTGGTTGTTTTGGGTAGTAAATGAGGCTGTAAGGCTAAAAGCTTTGAAATAAGTTCAACAGTATAGGATAATAATAATAATAATAATAATAATAATAATAATATTGTACTATGATTTAATATTAACAATGGGTCACCAGTAACAAAATACATCATACTGTTTGAGGGGTTAAGTGGGTTACAAGGAACAATATACAAAAGTGTGTGAGGGGAAAGTAGGTTACCAGGGGTTTTCCTCTTCAAGTGTTTCTACAGTGGTGAAGAGCTCGATGCATTCTTGCAGCTGCACTGTGGTCTGCTGCTGAGGGACATCCATGCTCTGGTCTTTTACATATTTCTGTACAGAAAGAACTTATCAGGACAACTGAACAGTTGTGGGCAGGTGTGCATACAACTGCTAAGAGCAACTTGATTTATACTACAGCAACACCAACAAAACTACAGCAAAACTTACTACAGTTAACACTAACTAGAAAAATAAATGTGAAATGTGTGTCTTTCAAAAAGACAATGGCTATTAATATGTACGTTAGCACAGAACAAAATGGCTTGACTAAATGTCTGTAATGTCTGTATCAACAATATCCCACTAGCTGATTCAGAACCAAAGGTGTTCAATAAGTTTAAAACTAAATCTAAACAGCTCAGTGTAAGAAGCTGTTATTAGCAAAGAATGTGGATGGTTTTCCCATATAATACATAGTACAGTATAGCACTGCAAACCAGTGGATTAATTTGGGAAAACGTAAACTAGATATTATGAAACATATTGGGTTGCTGGCGATTTGGCTTAATTGTAAAAATTTTTTTACAATCAATCACTGCTTGTTTCCATCATTTTGGCCTGTAGTGTATTAACAGGGGAGAATCCTGTACACTGCCTTTGTAAACAATGGAGGAGACCCTGTAGCCTATACAGACTTACCTCCGCCTCGTTCTCATTGTAGTATTTTTTCTTCATGTCAGGGTCCCAGTCAATGGCCACATACAGTGGAGCTGTGAGAAGATGACGCAGAACATCACTACCATCTTAGAACACCAACACATTCACATGCACTCACTTCTCATGTATGTTAAGAATTTAACTTTCAGTAAAGATGCAGGGGTGGTATTTTATTACTATACTTAAGTATTATTTTGATTAGTACTACATACACGTATTATTGCAACTGAATTCTTGTACTTTTACTCTGTTACATTTACAAGAAGAAAGCTTACTATTTTACTCTTTACCTTTTCATTTAGATTTTGAAATGCTTGTTGCAAATCTCATAGGTTGGGACATTTTTCTCTTTTTTATTTTTCTCCAGTCAGAGTTCCCATGCTTTTATTTTTTGTCCCAAATTATATATTATATTATTCCAAATAATATTCCCATAACTCTGCTAATTTGTCTTTAAGTAATGAACAGTATTGCCTAGTTGTCACTGAAAAGGGTTAAGACGGATTCTTTAGTCTGGGTAACAGTGTGGAAAAAAACTGTACAACAACATGACCTATTAAAACATTTTAGAAAAACAATGCATAGTGTTTTTGGACTAAACAAAGAATGGGATTTCAATAATCTGTTCTGTAAAGTGTCTCTGCACAATGAAATAAATATGAAAAAGGGCAGATTTTAGTTTTAAAAAAGAGCAAATGTCTGCATATATAAATAGATAATATGGCATCTGCATATCTATCTGTAATTTTTGGAATACTTTCAATAAAGACTCAGTAGAAATAGTTGTAATCAATTGAAAAATTACTGAAATATCTATTGTTATCTATATGCTCACAAAATCATGTTACAGTGCAATTTATCACAGTAACAATAAATTATTGTCACTGTTCACCCCTGGCTCCTAGTTTATGCCCCTTTTTCATAAACATCTGATCTCTGCTGTACTTAGTCCAGCATTAGTCACCAGGCTCTCATGTAATACTGAAGTTGTTTCAGAGCAAACCAAAGTATATAAAATGCAGGTTTTCACCCTAAAAGTACTAATGTTGCTAATAATAAGTCAAAGTTTGTATAAGCCTCCAGGTTTCACTCACTGTTAGCCAAGTTAGGGTGAAAATGTGCTCAGGGGTTGTGACAACACAACCATGCTGAAGAGCTGTTTTTGCAGACTGGTTCTCATATGTGGACTGTATGGACAGGGGCAAGTGAATGTTATACTTTTAAGCTAACAATTTTCATAGAGTGCATCAAACTCACGAAAAAAAATGAAATGAAATTCTCCATGAATTAAATTAAAGCAAGACTCACAACAGGAAGAAAAAGTGCTGCCTCCGTCTGCCATGCCTTGATCCGTGGTGCCATTGGAATTCACTGCTTGGATAGTAAAGAGTGGCTTCCTCTTCTTCTCCGCACAGCACCGTCTAGCCAAAGCCCTCTTGTTCACCTGAGCAATGGGCTCAGCGTCCTCTTCATCTCCCTCGTCATCCTCATCCTCTTTCCCAGAAGCCTCTGCAGCGCCCTGCTCCCCATCAGCAGCATCCTGGGAGTTGGTGTCCGTGCTGCCACAGGCCGACTGGCCCTCTTCTGTGCTGCTGCCCCGGTCCGGTTCACTGTTAGACTCCTCTTCCTCCTCCTCCTGCTCATCTGCTCTCTCCTCCCCTTCACTGCTGGGACTGGCCTCTGAATGGACGTTGTTCTTGTTGTGTCCATCGTTCTGAGCATTCTCCTGTGACTGCTCTTGTCTCGTGGACGGGCCTGCCTTCTCAGAGTCTTCCTCACCCTCATCTGTATGGATGTGAAGAACAGAGGGGAGAGTTTAGGGGTGAGATTAAGACTGCAGTGGTTAGTCGACAAAATTAATTAGCTGATTAAGATGTGGGAGAGATGGAAAAAATAGTATATCACGATAAATAAAGACATTTTCACGATAAACAATGTGTGTCACTATATTCTGACAAAGACAAAATACACTACTATTGTCACATTTAAAAACGGTCATGAAAAACTATGAAAACAGTGATTATTATTTAACATTTCACATACTTTGCTGCACTAAATTCAGTTAAAGAGGACTAATCATGCTCTCTTTATTTCAAAACATGCAGCTGGTCAGTGCTCTTAAATTACTGACAACATCCACAGTATGCTCATAAAAGCCCTTTGTGTATTACGATAACATCAATTATCATTATAACGATAAAATACCATACTGCCCCCTACTAGCTGATCATGAAAAATTTTGTATTTTCATTTTGTGAAAAAAAAAAAACCTCTACATGCTTCATAAATGTTGATACAAGAGATACAAGTGACCATTCTAAAGTGTCTGCAATTGACTGCTATTTGAGATCGCAATTAGTATTGCTCAGGGTGATTTCACTTTAGCAAAGTGCTTCAACAAAAATTGCTTATTTTACAGCTTAGTCATTGTTAAAGAACAAATACTGGATTGGTAGCAGTATTAGCTGATGCTGGAGGTTTCAGTACTAGTTCTTTAAACAAACATCTTTTTTAATTGCAATTCCAAAATGAAACAATATACTGTTCTATTTTCAGACATGGAAAATCATGAGTAGTGAAAAAGCATGACAAGTTCATAAGTCTCAGTCCCCTGTAGCGAGCCTGGCAGTATCGTTACTAGGAGAAAACTGTAGTCATTTTAACATGGAAATTCTTGGGCATTCTGAGAACATTTTGGAGTAGTTGCTGTGGAATTATTTGGTTCATTGAATTCAATGCCTATGCAAATATAAGTCATGTATAAAAATTGTACAACTTTTTTACTTTTTCTGTTCAAAATCTATTGCTTACTATACTGTGGTTAAAAGGCCAGTGTGTATTTGACAGACATCAACTTTCGAGACCCCACATGTATTATAAATCAAGACCATTCCAAACTTCCATCATTTGTGTTTTACTAGTTCTATAATGGCGCATAGTGCTTGGTCCCCCTGATCACCACTTACGTTCTGTAGATAGTGACTCTCATAACAGCCTCAACGGTCCCTGGAAATAAAATGTGTTCTAAATCAATTTCAGTTCAAAACTAAATAAAAGTTGACTGTCTTGATTTTGAACAATGAAAATTTACTCATCCTGTTTTCGCACATCATTCAAAAGCTACTGAAGAAATAAATCTAAATATGCGAACACTTCACTGAAACTTCACTGCTCATGAAACGTGGTTCTCTTTTGATGTTTCGGTACTGTTATCTTGGCCCATAAAAATTGAGTAAGGACTGTTGTTGTGCTGTGTTTGGGGGAGAGAAGGATTCTCCCGGAGAGTTTTCTATCCATCATAGAAATAATTCTTAGTTGCAGCCCTGGAAAAAAATGACCTAAAACAAACATCTTTTGGTGGGTCAGCTCTCAATAAATAAAGAAGCACATTACCTCCAGTCACTCCATTGGCCTGATTCTTGTATAATTCCTCCTCATCGTCATTCTCTTCTCCATCATTTTCATCCTCCTCTTCTTCTTCTTCCACTTCCTCTGCTGGGTCTGGCTGACGAACATAGCGCCTGCAAAAGGATGTGACAGACCCATTTACACCTCCCTTTCTGAGGATAATTAAACTGTGCTTCTAGTGTCTGTGCCAGCTATAAATGGTATTGCTAACATCTCATCCAGCTATAAAACTTACTGTTAATAAATGACCCAGCAATACAAGTTACAGCTAACATCTCATTCAACCCTAAATGCTATCATCAGCATCTGATTCAGCTCCAAACTGCCACATTTAAAGGAAGGAAACACTGAACTTCACAGAACTTGATTTTGACAGGGAAAAACGTCCATGGCCTAGAGTCCAATACACCATAATTGCCCTTGCTCTCTCTGGGTGGGTACGATGGCCCCTCTCTCTCACCCTATCACTCAGCAACATGCCAGCCAATGCAGAGAATGTGTAGTGAGGAGAACTACCACCCAATGTCTTCTGGGTTTGTCAGATGCTAGAGGGCACTCCTGGATGAGTCCAAAAAAAGGAATGGGTTCCTATGGAGCTTTTGTGCAAAATCATAGTTGGTAAATGCTGCATCATTTGTTCATACAGAAAAATGTGCTCGTTTTCTCAACACAGAACAGCATAAGTCTCTCAACAATGCTGATATATTTTTAAACTCTAGTTTTGAGTTTTTCTAACAGTGTATAATGTACGTTCAGAATGTCAGTAAGCGCAAACCGCTTTGCTCAGCCAATGAGCTGATCAGCACACCCACCAATCACTATTCAGTAGCAGTAATGCCAAACAATCAGCACTCAGTAGCACTAATGCTAGCATTGTACAGCCCCAAACCAGTTTGCTGTTAAAAATGGAAAGATACTGGTATGTTTTCTTAGTTTTTTTAGTGAAATAAATCCTCATACTTTCCAAAATTAAAGGAAGGTCCTGCACAAATCATTAGAAATGTTTCATTTTTCGATTTTAGCCATTTAGCTCCATTCAGCCCATTCACTAAGGACTAGCTCGCAGGCATCTTCCAGCATTTTGCAGTTATTTTATTCATATAATAGGACAATTACGAAGTGGCCAGGCTCCCTTTTATACTGGCTCTGGCAGCTGCTGGCTGACGTAACAGAACTGGCAGCCAGTGTTCTCCTCCAAACACACTAAGCTGTCAAACTGTGTTGCTTTAGAGGACATTAAAAAAGATGAGCTGTGTTCAGGAGGAAGCAGCTTAGTTGCATCATGTGATCGGGGGAGATCTAACTAGCAGCTGGAAGTGACCACAACAAAACTGGTGGAAAACTGGGTAAAATAAATAAGTGAATAAAAACAAAAAAATAAAATTCTTGTAATTATTCAGGTATGTGTAGTATCTGATGTTTGCTACTTTAGTTTGCACTATGAGGCTAATGTGGCTAACAAGTATCAGAACCTTTCGAACTGTGTGCATAAATCATCATAAGTCTCAAACACACTTGCTCATGTAGTTTCTGACACTGTATGATGTACACTGTTATTATTTTAAGGAAAGTGTAGGTTTGTGATATGCAGGTTGCTTGATCATAAAATCGTAGCTATAAGTTTCCATTACTTGTTGCAAAACTAAAGAAGCAAACATCGGACACCAATTATGTCCTGGCGGATTAATTACATTTAAGGGGAATTACATGTAAATTTAATTTTTAGCCAGTACTTTATCTTCTCTCTGGTTCAGCGTTTCTAGAAGCACAAAGCAACAAACCAGTACAAACATGAGCACTCACGCCAGGCGCTGCAGGAAGAGCTGGTACAGGGCGTCTCTGGTGCATTGAGCCCGCGGCAAAGCCATGAGCAGAGGATGGCCAAAAAGCGTTGTGCTGTAGTTGCTGCCCCCTGAGCCGTAGTCTCGGTAGTGGGAACGTTCACGCATGTAGACAGCCAGCAGAACCTCCTCTTCATCTTCACAAGCACAGGTGCTGCTTAGCTCATACCTGCAAGAACACAACCAAAGAAACTAGCTGCATAATCTCTCTTTTTATCGTTATGAATTTTGTTAAAGCTACATTATGTATGTTTTGGTGATGTGGTGACCTCTCTGGTAGGAATGCCTAATTGCAAGTAACATTTTGTAACATTGGTTGTGCTCTGCAACCCTTCTCTGAGTGATGAATGTGATGACTGTGTGTACGTTGAAAGGGTATTCAAAGAGAACAGCTTACTAAATAAGTTTGGAAACTGTTTGGATAAAATCGATAATTGCTTGTTTAACTAGAAAATATATCTTTCCAATTATTTTTGATATTACCCAGACTTACTCAGTAATGCAATTTTTTACAATTTTAACAAAAAATCTTGTAGTCTAAAGTGTATTATAGAACTACAGTATATTTACAAACCTTTGTTTCTGAAATAAATACATTGCAAAAGCAATTTACTGTCAAAGATGTTAAAAAGGAAGTGAACAATACTGGAACTGTCAACTGTTAAAAGGCTGATAAGTTGATGATGAGCAGATAAGTTGATGATGAGCAGGATATGTTAACTGGCGACATCAGCATTTCTTCAGTGTTAGCATGGTCTGAATGAGTTAGCTCTTTAAAGGCCCTTTTAGGACAGTCTTTACATGTAAACCCGTCAGTCTATTTTGTCAAAACATTACTACCATAATATCAAAATCAGGGTAAACTACAAATGAAGCATATACATTAAATTTGCTCAACAGATTAAATAAAGCTTACACAAAGATGTCATCTCTGTCCAGTATACAGCTCAGAGACTCATCTACATGGTAGATCTTGTAGAAACGATGGTTAAACACATCCGCCACTACCATCTGATAGAGCAGAAGAAAAAGGACATTCAGCATGTTACATCATGCATACAGACAAACGTCAAGATTTTAACTGACTGTTAATGTGAAGATGTGCCCAAATCAAATGAAGAATAATGAGCACGTACATAAGGAGCTCTTATCAGCTCATTTTGTACAAATGTGTGCTCTCACCTGGTTAGCAGAGATGCCTGTTGTTTGAGAGAGGGCCATGCACAAATCAATCACTTTGCCAGCTTTAGGGACGACCACTCGGTGCTAGACAGAGTCAGAGAAAGGGAGTCATTTTTAAGTGTGCTTTTTCAAATATAATTATATGAAGTGTTGTTAGAACATTTTTTATAATCAAATCCAGTGTTTTAATACCCTTTAAGGCCTCTTCAGATGAAAAAGAATGGCATTTCCATCAAACAAACTCAACTGTGACCTGTATTAATATCTATTTTATCCAGATCAAACATATACATACACGTTTATATGTGTGACATATATCATTGTCATTGTCAGTTCTGCCATCCTCTAACCCTAATAAACAGTGGTTAGTTTCTGACCACATGATTACCATTGGCTGGATATTTGTGTGGGTTTACCAAAAACAGACATTATTTATTTTTACAGGACTATTTTTTTAATCTTTCTTTATCAACTGGAATTAAACTGCTTGTTTTTGTTAGAGCATAATTAAGACTAATATATGTAATTACTCTCTGCTCTGATTGGAAAAAGTGGTTCAGCCTGAAACACTCCTTGTAACTTCAATGTGAATGAGCAGAGCTAAACTGCTGTAGGCTGAAAATATGGAAATATGAAAATGTTTTTCGTGACATCATAAAAACAATGGATTCAAAAAGGGCTATCTTTGCTGCATCATTTCCATACATGGTCTGCATGGACTGGGGAATGAATGGTTTGTTTTGAAACTTTCATAGTGCTTATATATCAAAACGATGAGGAAAACTTTAATATACATAGTTTTCAACCCAACCTTCTAAAAATTTTTAAATCTGTTTAAATCTCTTTTAAGACATAATAAGACTCTTTAAGGATCTGAGGGAACGCTGTATGAGGATCCACCAATCATTGGTGTTGTGTGCAATCCACTTATTTAAAGCTGATTTTTAAAGGATTCTCCACATAAAAAGTGCCACTGTTGCCACAAAATGAAACACAGCAGAAGCTATCAAGAGATCCAGTGATGTATTTTGATGTAGTATGCTTACCTGCACAGGTTTTGATAAAGGGTCGAGGGAAACGAAGAACACCTCCATGACCCTCTCCTTGCTGACAGGCAGGGGCACACTCAAGTAGCAGAAAGGGTCAAAGGTCACAGACACCTTGTGGCACTCGGGGCAGACAAGTGTGGACTTAAACAGTCCATGGAAGGTGTCCACGATCACCGAGTCGTTCCGCCTCCTGTGGTTACGCCATGCCTCCTCAGCCACTTCCTGTGCACAAACAGAACCATTTTAGATGCTTAAGTAAACCTGTGTTTGTAGGTTAACAGTGGCTTATTATTCTGAAATGTCCCTTAATGGTTTGATAAGAACCATTTCCACCAACTAAAGTAAACCTGAAATATTTTTGTTGTGCAAAATCATAAAAGCAAAACTAATAAGTATAAGCTATAACAATATTGCTTTTTAAAACTACTAGTCATGTCACTCCACTGCTGCGCTCCCTTTACTGGCTTCCTGTAGCCGCACACATCAGATTTAAAACCCTGATGCTTGCCTACAAAGCCAAAAACACACCAGCCTGTCCCTGCCTGATGGCAATGGTCAAAACTCGAACTATACCTCGAGCCCTTCGAGCTTCGAGTACAGCTCGGCTTGACCCGCCATCCTTCAAGACACGTGGAAGACAAGCATCAAGACTTTTCTCTGTACTGGCACCCAGTTGGTGGAACGACTCCCACTGGCTATCCGATCAGCAGAGTTTCTCCCGGTCTTCAAACGAAGACTGAAGACACATCTCTTTATACAGCACTTAAATGAGCACTGAGTTAAGTATTTTATTCTTATGTATTGTGCTGCATTTATTGAAATGTATTGCAATGCGCTGTGTTTAATTCTGTTCCTTTTTCTCTGGGCTTTTGTTTCTAGCAGTATCTGAGCTCAGGACCAGCTTTCTCTCTAACCTGTTTGTAACTAGCAAAGATACTTTCTCTAGATGGACAAAGCACTTTTAGTAAGTCGCTCTGGATAAGAGCGTCTGCTAAATGCTGTAAATGTAATGATACTAAGTGATGTCTTACTTTCTACTAGGCTGGATTTGGTTTCTTATTTGACAGCTTCTTCTTGAAAGGTTCTACATATTTACAGGTGCCAGAATATAACAGCTACACCATTTAAGGTGGAACAGGAATTTCAAATAAGAAGCCAACTTCAGCTTCACCTAATTTGCCAAGTTATTTGTTCCATATATGCTTTTCATACACTTGTGCCTCCAACCATTAGACGCTGAAATCATGCTGGAGTCATTCACACTTCAGTACTTGGCCTGTTACACCCAGCTGACTGAGTCAGGCTGTTTCTCAGGCAAAACATGGTATACTAAGGCTATACTAAGGCTAACAATTGGGCATTCCTTTATGTCCCCTGTGTGACAAAGTGGACTACGTCAAATCCAACAGACTAGACAGCACCAGATGATCAAGAGGCTGCTGTGTTTTCATTTTCATTTGAAATGTGAACAAAACATCCCTCAGCTCCTCAGCTAGAGCTAACATTAGTGTTGTCTGAGCCATTTGTGCAACGTTATCTGCACTTATTTGTGGCTGGTTTAGAGGTTATGAAAAAAAATTCCACAGGATTCCTATAAGAAAAAACAACAATCACTATAATCTACTACAGGACACAACACAAGTATATGGAAGTCAAAATGTTACAGATGTTTATAGAAGTATTATACAGCACAATAGAAACCTTTTAGTATAACCTTATAGTATTACTCTAGATCTTTTTCATAAGGGACGTTACAAGGTTGAAGGGCATAAATCTAGCTGTTTTGCCCAAATGTGACACAGACATGATTTTTGTCTAGCAAACACAAAATCTGATCTTTTCAAATCAGATTTGAGCTGCCAAGAGTCCTAGATTGGATATTCCCCACCCCTAACTTCACCACACATGCACTGTCTTTATGTTCCAGCGTCACATTGCTGATTTTAAAAATGTGTGCATGCAGATCCTTTCAGGGCAGAGGTGTGTTCACACTAAAGAGACATATGTGTCACGACTGTGAACCTTCAAGTCAGAAAGATCTGATCTGAGCAAAAACTGAAAAGAAAATGCAAGTAAAAAAATAGACATCATAACAAGACTAACAAGACTTGTAATGTTACACAGCCCAACATTGCAAGCTGACATAATTTTTCATTTTGACTGGCTGCTTGATGCTGCCACATTTTGTCTTGAAATGTGGGATATTTTACTATTACAATTATAAAGCAGAGTGCGATCATTACAAAGAATAAAGTGCTCAGAATTGAAGCACTTGTTATTTCAGAAAAGACACAAACAATACAATATTGCTATTCCTGCTCAAAACCATACCATCCACACCTACGTTAATAGTTTTGAGCAGAGTTCTGCAGTATTTTTAGTCCATTAATCTCGAATTTACAAAATTCAGGGCTTTTGACTGTCTCTAGTTTGCACTGTATGTGAATAGATATTTGTATCTGTCTTAATTTGTGTGCTGAAATCATTACCTGATCTGGTCTGCCGTCAGCATCCCTGAGCTCAATGTACTCTTTGTTTTTGACGCGGTTGAGGTCCTCATGCAGGCCATCCAGGAGAAAGGACAGAAGCTCCTGGGAGTCATGCTGCTGGTAGCCCAGAAACTGGGACGCAAAATGGCCCACCTTTGTCTGCTCACAAGAACACAGACAAACGTGTTATATATTCTATGACGCATCAAAGTGAGCTTGCTTACACTACAGTCATGATCATACTGCAAAACTGATAAACAGCCAAGTATTCTGCCATGTAGGTCTTTTGATAATGACAATTAAAAAGATCATATAAATAGGTAAAGAATTTGAAATTATCCATTTAAGTATATATTTTTTAACTCATGATAAAACATTCGGAGTGACGTGATGATTTTTCTCTCACCTTAAAGATACGTGGGACCACAGAGTAGTGCCTCCCTGACCACATCTGCTTGATGACATCTGCATAGGCCTCTGCAATCTCACCCTTCATGCCCAGAGGGTTGTTAAAGTTCAGTTCGTCCAGATACGAATTCCGCAGAAAATACTCTGTCAGCGGCGGCGTGTTGCTCAGACACTGAGCACGTAAAGAGAGACAGACAGAAATTATATCCACCTATGGACTATGAATATGTAGTTATAGTAAGTTATAATTATTAACATTTCTTTGTAGTACAATAGAGATACACTTGAGTTTTAGCTTCAAAAACACACTGTAAGTGATCAAACATGAAAGAACAAGGGAGGAATGGGCAGAGAAATTGAGTAAGAGCTATGAAAAATTTACAGGAGCAAGGCATTATCAACTGACTGTCTTGAATTAATGAAAAAAAAAAATTGTCATAACTACAGCTAGATGAACAGTCCAAAAGTTAAAGCACTCTATTAGATAAGTATCTGTTGAGAGAGGCTATGGTGTAGAGCATGACATAACAGCTGACCTGCAGCGCAGAGTTCATGAAGCAGGTGTTGCCGAGGTTAGTGAGACCACACACTCCGGGCTGCCCTCGATATGTGTCCTGCTCATCCACAGAATTCCTCCTGATAATGTAGAGCCAGAGATTAACACACATACACTAGTGTTGAAACATCCGGAATCGTTTATTAATAACTGCTGTCATTTTACTCAACAATAACTTAAAGTGTATTGAATTAATATAAACTAATCACCAGAAGATTTTAAGATGTTTCATTCAATATCTCATGTTTTGTTTAATCTCATGTTTATCGTATATTTATATGACTGCGGGAAATTATCTTAAATCAGATCAATATATCTAATATTCATGTTGAGATTGTTTTAAGTTTATTTTAAAGTTATTTAACAACATGTTTTGCCTGTTTTAAATTACTTTATCAAGTAAAATTAGCTCATTTTGTTGGCAGATACATGGTGAGATGATTTAACTTGATAAATCATTTAAAACAAGTAAAATGCCTAAAAATGAATGAATGAATGAATAAATAAATAAACAAAAAGCATACAATCTCAAGATGTGAAATATTAGATACAACGACTAGATTTAAGATATTTCAATTGGCAAGATACAATTTTTTGCAGATTGAGCAAGTGGACTAAGAGTTTACTTTCCTGAAAAAGCTCAAACTGCTAAACTGTTCCTAAAATCTTTTTTCATAGAAAGATTAAAAGTGTATAATTCAAAATATAAAATGATTTCTTTAGGGCAGTCACTTTATTTGTAATTATTATATTGAATTCTACATAAAACCTATAATATATTTATTCTTAGGTGCAAAAACAAAATTATCTATAACTTTGTGCTTTACATTTGCAAAGAACTCTTCTGTAGTCATTTTTTTACTTTTTTAAAATATTATTTGTGTTTTTGTGAGGAGGTGGGGGAGACAGAGAAAAAAGGAGAGAGAGAGAGAGAAAGAGAGAGAAAGAGAGAGAAGTGGATGGGCACAGAAGGGTTTTGTCTAAAAACATCAAAACGTCAGCTTGACTGAGCAGGCAAGTGATTTTTTCCACTGCTGCTACTTGCTGCAGGCAATAGGGCAGTTGTTAATGTTGAACTCTGAAGTTTGACAGGATGCTCATTTGATGCTGTTCAGAGCCATTAAAGGAATTTCCTATTAGAGATTAAGGGATTTCTGTTACATTGCTGCTATTGTACAATTCTGAGTGTCTCATACACTTTAAAGATTTGTTTCGCTTTTTTTTTGTACTGCACTGGATCCAAGTCAGGAAGTCATGAAATTACTTGAGTTGAGTCTAGCGTACGAGAGCAGTGACTCCCCACCATGGTCTAGGGAGTACCCCCGCTCTAACAAACCCACTTTAACTCAAGAAGGGTTTGATCATTAGCTGATTAGACGCCTAAAGTGTTTTAGAAAGCGTAGCAGAGCAAACAAAAAGAAGTGCATGTCACAGTTTGGGTCTGACTGTCCACTGTGTGTCCACAGCATTTTAAATTTGCTCACATGATCTGGGGTCTGGAGCTGGGCCAGGTGCCATCTGAATTCCTCAACTCCATGATTACGGTCTGCAAAGCAGAGCAGAGCATGTCACAGCATACCCACAACCACACACGCCCCAACACGTCCATCCGGACACACACACTTGCACAGGCCCATACGCATACACCCAGCCACACACACACACACACACACACACATACACACACACACACACACACACCCACCCACCCGCATATGTCCCAGATAACAACAAAACTACACTTCTACAGTTCACACTGTGGCATCATACATGCAAGGCAATATCAATATTATGGCAAGCCTATATCTATAAAACAAATTAAATAAAGCCACACAATTAAAAGTGTATCTATAAAACAAGTCAAACAGAGTCATACAGATGTTACTGCAGTTAGTATAGAGAACAACAAATCTGAGAAAACAACTACAGTTCCCAGTTTTTTGGGGTTTTTTTTTGAGTTTTTTCTGAGTAATATTAGTTTTTTGTGAGTAATGATTTTCACTTTTCAATTTTGCTTTTTTTACACCTGTGCACAGTGTCAGATACAGAAAATTGGACGAGGGCCATACTTTTTTTTTTTGGTCATATGTGTATGTTTGTGCCAGTAGCTGCATGTTAAAGACAAATTCCCCTTGCTGGACAATCTCTATTTATATAGTACAGGTACGTTTAAGACAGGTTTATACAGTGAAACCTCTGACCACATCTTTGTGCTTATATGTGTGCTTCAACAGCTGACACATTTTACCTGCAACAGTATATATGTACACACACACATACATACATACCTACATATGCACACACGCCGCTGGTAAAATTGCATGTTTTGTCGATTTTTAAAGTAAAAATAAGATAACACACCCTCTACAGAGAACACACTTCTGCACATTTTAATCCACAATTGTTTACTGTAATCCACAACATTTTTGCTAAAAAAATTTGCTGAAATAAAAAAATAAATAACATATGGCCTGTATAAAAGTTATAGCACAATATGTATAATAAATAAATAGAAACTGTGCACTAAAATTTGTAGAAAAATGTTATATTTACATTTGTTCTCTGTAAAGGATGTGTTAACTTATTTTTACTTAAAAAAAATCAACAAAGTCAACAAATGTCATTTGACCGGGGTGTTTAAACTGTCGGATACAAAAGCAAGTGTGCATAATATTACCATGCCTGATGAAAGGCAGGCATCTAGTACAGTCGTGTGGATGTTTCGTAGCCTCTCACAGCTGGTGTCAGAACTCTTCATCCACAGTCTTGGTTCTGCATCCTCCGCTACCTCAAACCGCTTCTGCATCACCTTCTGAATGGCAACTGTTACACACACACACACACACACACACACACACACACACACACACACACACAAATGTGAAAGTCATAATGCAGGCTACAACACAGCAATGTCAGGCAATGTTCCCAGAAGACCAGTGACTGGCCTGGGAGGCCTCTCACCTAATTCTGCAGACCCTAATTAGATACTAAATATAATTCCGAAATATCCTGCCTAGCAGAGAGCCCACCAGGAAGGATATGTAAACCCACTTTTGTTCTACCTTGAATAACATTTCCAGGCACTAGTCAAAGCATTAGTCAGTCATTTTACAGGCACTGTTTTGCAATTTGTCACAGATGAATCAGTCACTGAGTGCCTGCAGCCAGGGTCTGGACTGGGAACCATTTATTGAATGCAATAAAAATAATAATTTGCAATAATTTGTTTCAGTTTATTTATTCATTTCACCCTGGATGATGACATCATCTGCACAAGCAAAGGTATTCATAACTCCTCTGACGCATGTGAAATCAATTACTTGCCATGAAGCGTCAGATCACCCGACATGTACAGTGGTGTGCAAAAGTCAGAGACCACCCTTAACTTATTTAATTTCCAGTCAAAACCACCATTAAGTACAGGTTATTCATCTCCAAAACATAACAGAAAACATTTATTTAACAGAAAATTAGGTCTAGGCAACTAAATATATCATTTTCAATATTCCGTGTATCCACTCTTTTCCTTTATAACAGCTTCCATTCTTTTTAGGAGACTTACTTTCAGGTTTTTTAAAGAAATCTGCAGTGATATCTTCCCACACCTCTAAACTCGGTCTTAGAACTTGGTTGCATTTTCTCACAATCCAGGTAATCCCAAACACATTTACTGATGTTGAGGTCTGGAGTCTGGGGTGGCCAGTCCATTCTTCTCCGAACACCAGCAGTTTCTTTGTTTCACTTCCAATTATTTGCATCTTGACAGCTACACATCCTTTCAGACTCATAGCGCGGAGTTGTCTCAAAGTGGAAGGACGGACAGAAACACCTGTGGATTGTTTCAGATCTGAAGCAAGAATGGATCTTAATTTTCTCCTCTCTCTCAAAGGTGAAAGCTTTAAGTCCTTTTACCTGATGGGGACAGTTTTGGTGACCTACCAGGTCTTGCATGGTTGTTAAGAGCCCCCTTATTCTGTATCTGCTGATCCCCCCACTTATTATATATATATGAGTGGATTAACCTGAATAACTTGCACTTAATGGCAGTTTTGAAAATGAAATAAATGAAAGGTGGTCTCTGATGAACAGTACTGTAGTCCCATCAATCATCTCACTCTTGTCAAGGATGCTAAGTGCTTACAGGGAGAGACAGATCATACTAACATAACAAAGTTACCAGGAACCTTTGTAACAATTACTGTAACAATTATTTTGGAGACACACTTGCCCACTTATCAAGAGGGGAGTATGTCACACTAAAGACCTTGAATGAGAGCATTTACTAAATGTAAAAGGCTTAATGCAATACCCAGTGTATCTAATTTGTTTGAATACCCATAAAAAGTTACACTGTTTCCCCAAAAGAGCTGATTTACTCACATATGGTGTCTGTCCGGCTAAACTGCTCTGTCACAACATCATCCATGTTGCTATGGAGACAAAGGAAAATTTCCACAGGGTAGATCTCAACTTTAAGAGTACTGGGAAGGTCAATGACCTGGAAAAAAATAAGTTCACAATTCAGACTTCAAGACAGCTAAAGCTCTTTTTTATAACAATCTGGACATAAATGTGAAACCAAGCATTTCAGATTAAATATGTTTTTCCCATCAGGAGCTCCACCAAATATTGCAGCTTTAGGCTCATTTCACAAAATCCCTGCTCTCCTGACACTGTTTCACAGAACATGATTAACAGTAATATTCTACAATAAACAGCAGAATGAAGCTAGGACTGTCACAATAAATACAAAACTGCCTAACCGTAATTAATTAAGCTTATTTAAGCCACAATTACTAGCTTTCATAGATATATATTTATGTCACAACAAACAGAATGTAAACTAGATGTTTTTTTATTCATTGGATCGGGGCAAATACATGTAAATAAAAGACAGCAAAACATTTATTGAGACACATCATGGGTCTTAGGAAAACAACAACTGATCTAACCTCTTACTGCTGCTATAACACATTTAGAGGGCTGTGGCGTGTAATGTTTGTTTATTTCAGCTGGAGCTCTTCAATTAGGAGCTACTTAAAAGCAAGGAAGCGAGATAGCTAATCTTTGTTTTACATTGTTGAACAATGAACAAACATTACTTATCACAGCTTTCTAAAGGTGTTTTAGCAGCAGTAGGAGGTCAGAACATTTGTTGTTTTCCTAAGACGCATGACATGTCTTAATAAATGTTTATTTATTTGTGCTGGACCTCTGTCTGTCAGGCTTCTTACAATACTGCACCATCCCAACAGCAGTGAAATCAAGGCAAAGAATACAGGCAGTGTGAACAGGGCTTTGGTTAGACACCTATCTTACCTTTCTCTCCATGGCAGGCTGATCATCAACCATGCCATACCAGGACAGCAGCTTATGCCAGGCTTCTGCTGGAACCAGGACAAAGTCCTCAGTCTCCACCAGCCTCTCCTTCAGACGGTATGAATCTAAACCTGCTCAGAGCACGAAGAGAACTTACAAAATACTCTACAAATTAATATTTTGCACGCACAAAGACTACGTGAACCTTGATTTTCAATGTTGACTGTCAATGTATAGTTTAGCTTAAGCTTTATTTGTGTCTGAGAACGGTTCTTAGCCTGCCCTTTCTGAGTCATGTCAGATGTAGTTTACTAGTCCTTTTGGTCCATGCTGTGGTTGTGTTCTGGTTAACTAATTGGGGATAAAAACTGTCTAATTTTGTAAATGGGGAGCCATTCACCAAACAACATGATTCTTTGCTTGAAACCCACCTCAATTTTCCATCTTATATAATGTAGCTAGAACAAAAAGGATGGCGTTCGTAAACAATCCACAAACACAGCCGTCCATCAACAAAATAGGCCAGTTCTACATCAGTAGCGCTCTGAATACATGTTATATTGAATATTCAAGGTTAAAAATAGTGGTGGGCAACATTACGACATTTATCATTATTTGAGCATATTGTAAATACAGTCCGTATTTTAAGACTAACTGCAAATACAGTACAGTTTAAAGTACAGTTGATTAGTACCGTTTGAAGAGTCCATGTCATGGAAAACTGATTAAACTTATCAATATTTTTTAAATAAAATGTTTCGTATATGTAAACACTGTTAAAGTTGAAAAACATTCAATTCCCTTCCCAGTTCATGCAGTCTACATATGGTCAATTAACTGGAAAAACAGTTTTGATCTGAAGTGATTGTTTACCTGATGTCACAAAAGTAACATATTTACATATATGCACCTAGTCAGCCCACATCAGCTTAGCCCCGCCCACTCACACTGAAGTTATGAGGAGTGTAGAGATCATTTACCTTTATACTGTGCCTTTAAGACAAAAGTCTTAAATGTTCAGAAAGAAAAACAGCCAGTTTAATTCTAAGGGATAAAGAGAGGTTGGAAAAAGGTCATGTAAAATTAATTATGATTATTTCCTTTACATATCATCACACAAATGCCCTAAGCAGCCATCACAGGAAAAAATACAAGAAAAATGTAAGATATTGGTGTTGTAATTGGATTTAATGCAGCGCAGTGTGTCAAACCAGTATAAAAAAACTGTACCCATAATTAATGAGAGTATTTTTAAGGTGGCACTATTGGCCCAATCCTGGTCCTGGACTATTCCTGTTCAATGTTTCCTCCCACACTTAAAATACCCAATGCTTTAGAACTGACTGGCGATACAGTAATGGCAGAACACTGGTTACTGCCAACATGAACCAAAACCAAAACCAAAACCATAAAGTACATAAAATGCACTTTCAAATTATGATTGATGATGATTACACTGTTCACATCTAAAAAAACATTTGACATACAGAACCAGAGCCTTCCATGTACATTAGAATAAAGGCAAATTATACCACTAGACATACTATGTGTATGCATATGTCCAGTTGTCTTTTGCTATGCGAAATATGTTCCATCAAGATAGTTTCCTTATTACACCGGCAGCAAGTACGTCAGCATTTCTGAATGAAAAGTCACTCCTCATTCCCTGGACGCTTCCTGATTTTAATCGTGCACTAAACAAGCAAAGGAGTAGCCTCTTTACAGCAGCTAGCCAAACATCAAGATCAGAACTGTGCCTGAACTAATATTTAATACTTTCCTTACTCAGCTGAAGAGTTGCATGAGCACTTTTAATGCACTTCAAACTTCTTCTGCCATTACATAACAGCAGACAAGAATACCACAGACAGACAACAGACAGCCATATGTAGTTTTAGAAATTGACACCAAATGCTACAGATCCTACCAGCCTCTTTTAGAAACAAAACGATCTGATGTAAAAGAGCGCAGCTAAACTGCAGTAGGCTGAATAGTTGGAAATATGTAATTGCATTCATTTTTATGACACCACAAAAACAATGAATTTAAAAGGGCTGTCGTTTGCATATCTGGCCAGTACAGACCGGGGAGAGAAAGGTGTCTTTGAAACAGAGTTTACATACTACTTCAAGCTATTTTTTTTCTCCAAAAAAAGAGTAAAATTCAGTTTTCCATGACATGGGCCCTTTAAATAATAAAAACCTGTTTATCATTCCTTTAAACAGTACAAGACTCACTCTCAAAGAGCTCTGTGTTATCAATTCGTCCTGGAAAAGAAGAAGAGTTCTGGTCGCCGGTCTTCACATACTCATCCCACAGGTCAAACCATCTCCTTCCCAATAGATACCTGCAACACAGTCAAGAGTAACAATCAACCTGTGAGTTTTGGCCCAGTCAGATGAGTCATCAACTCTAAGTATTTGTATGGAGGGCTTGATCTGTTCCCCTCAGCTATCAGAGAACTTGATTCACAACTGCACTTCAGTGAATGCTGTTTAGTACTGGTTCTATCAGTTTGCACTGCTTCAATGCCTACACTACACTGTATCACCTTTCTCCTAGACAGCAGTAAGGCCATGACAGTAAATATATGCCAAGTCCCCTTGCTTTTGGACCTTCTATCTTGTCCTGCACTTTATTGCTTTTACAGCCTGTTGTGTATCCAGGCCTGCATGACAAAGATTCTTAAAACTTGAGTCCTGTATGGTTACCTGATATTCAAAAGTGCACTACAGTCATAAGTTTAGGGACAGGAAAACACCATGACTATACAGATTCGTGCTAAAGTGAGCCTGTCTGTCAATCTGCCATTCTTCTGCTCCAAGCCTTGTGCTCAAAAACGAAACTGATCCAGACATAGCACGTTTGAAATTCAAAAGTGAAACCTGGGAAATATCCAGACCAGCAAGCCCACTATGAATATTAACACACCAACTGAGCTATGTTACAACCAGTCCCCTATAGATTAGCTTTCAGTGTCCAAACTGGCCGTGCCTCCACGAATTAAGGCGTTACTTTAAAAAGCAGCTCAGTGTGGCAGCCTCGAGTGACTAGTTGCTCATTTCTAACACTATAAAGTCAGACTTAGGGGCCAATTTCATCAGAAACGGTCAACTTCAAATCATCCACATTCATGACTTTTTTCTCTGTGTAGTGTTATTTGCTATATTAGCTATGCTGGCTGATCATACAGAGTCCAGAACGTCGTCAAAGCTATGCAGCTAACAGCTAAAGTACAAACCAGCTTCATTCAACAGCTCTGTAAACATTTTATTCATTTACTAGCGCTTATTTTACGACTCCCCAGAGTTAAAAGACAAGCAGAAGAAACGCTAGACCGCAATTCGGCGCCTAAAGCGCCTCCAGCCCGCTTCACTGAGCTCCTCAGTGAGTTTCATTTTAGCCGGACTGTCTCACCAGCTCTCCCCGACCCGGAGCTCCTCTTCCCGCAGCAGCGCCTCGATCTCTCTCAACTGAGTCTCCAGCCCGGGAGGCTCGGTCGCCGCGCCACTGCCAGTCGCGGCCATAATAACTCATTTAATATTGAGAAAAAGCGCACAGGTCCACCGCAGAAACGCCGCAAATTATTATTATTATTTCGCAGGAAGCAGGAAGAGATTGTGATGATGACTTCCTCGCGCAAAAGGGGGCGTGTCTAAAACATGAAAGGGCGGGGCTTCTGTTTGTTTCGGTTACAGTTTTTACCTCAATTCATATTTATTTATTTACCTCGTTTCATGTTTATTTCTTATATTTATATATTTATATGTCTTATATACATCTTACTTCTTGTAGATTTCCTGATATTATTTATGTAATATTTCAGCTCAGTCCTTTTGTAAGCAGGTAAATTCAATGTTAAAAAAAGTTCACATGTAGCATTAAAAATAATCATGAAATCACTGAAATAAAATGAAAAAAAATAAATAAATGAAAAATTAGACATTTTGTTTGAATTAAAAGTTTAGACATTTTCAATGAATTTAATAGAAGTTCATTATAACACACACACACACGTATATCTATCTGTTTATCTATCTATCTATCTATCTATCTATCTATCTATCTATATATAAACACGGTTTAGAAACTTTTCATTAGAGACTAAATATTAATGGGTTAATTCAGTAAAAGTGAATCATTTATAAAAATCTTGCAGATATGAAATATAATAGAGTAAATCATAGAGTAAATTATTTAATATAGTAAATCACTAAAACTGAAAAAATGCATTAGATTATCTATCTATCTATCTATCTATCTATATATATATATACATATCTATCTATCTATCTATCTATCTATCTATCTAAGGTAGCTAAACCCCTTTAAAATACAGTGGGTGCAGTTCAACAACACTAGATGGCAGTGCAGTCTAGTTTGTTTATTGTTGTAGTTCAAGTACACTCTTAAAAAAGATGGTTCTTCAAGGGTTCTTTAGTAAAGAAAAAGGGTTCTTCTATTGTTACAAGCTTGACATCATCACAATAGAAGAACCCTTTTTGGTGCTATATTTAATCTTTTTTTAAAATGTTCTTTAAAGAACCATCTACAGCACATTCCCCATCAATCTGAAGAACTCTTTCACGATGCAAGGAACCCTTTAATAATACAAAGGGTTCTTTGAGTGTTTGTGGTTCTATATAGAACTATTTTCTTTATTAAGAACGCTTGAAGAACCATCTTTGTGCATTCTTTGTCCAAAAGTATCCAGATTCGCTTTCTAATTGGTAAATTTAGAGCTTTTCAAGGCACCCATTGCTGACACATGTTCCAGTACATACTGTACACACAGCTTGTATAGTCTCCATAGAAAAGCATTTCTAATATAATTGGACATTTTGGAACAGCTTCGTGTGAGCCTAGAGGGCATTATCTAGAGGGGTAACCCCCCCGCCCCCCCCTCACTGGGCTGTGGAGCAGTGGAACTGTGTTCCCTGGAGTGATGGGGCTCCATACAGTACCTTTGGGAAGAGTTGGAATGATCCAGAACTGACCATCCAACATCAGTACCTGACCTCACTAATGCTCTTGTGACTGAATGCAATCAAATTCTCACAGCAATGTTCCTAGTGTGAAGCCTTTCCAGAAGAGTAGAGACTGTTAATACAGTAAAGGAGGATGAACTCCCTATTAATAGCCTTGATTTCAGAAGAAATGCTGGACATACAGTGTATCACAAGATGTGGTATTTTACATTTTTTACATTTTAAATTTACATAGTTTTCTACATATCGCTGTTGTCAGAAGAAAACCTCTTATATCCATTTTTGTCATTTTAGAGTTTTTGACATAATTTGAAAATGCCTGTTTACATTACATGTCCCTTTACATTACATGGACTAATAGAAATGACTCAAAATTACTCTGAAAAAAGTCTGGTTCCATTGATTTACATTAAAAGTAAAGTATGTTTTTTCCTTTTTCTGTAAAGTTACCATTTTGGAAATATAAGATTCTGACAACAGCAACATTCTAGATGTAGTTGAGACATGTTCAGATTTTGCTTCTGTAGTTTAGGGCTGGAGCTACAAGGCTAACATTGCTGACAAACACTAGAAGTCAATAGTCACCCAAATCTTTTCCATTAATACTTTCCTTAAAAACTTCTCTCAACACGCTAAAAGCATACTAGTCTGTATTAAGGTCATGCAAACTTGTCAATGCGGGTAAGGACACAGTATGACTTACTGTGAGCTATAAAAATGAACAAAACTCACGGTGTGGCTCAACGCTTCAGGTAGCCTTTTTAGACAGATATGCTACAGCATTTAGCTACACAGTGATGTACTTAAGGAGAACACTCCTCAGCCAATCACAATCACCTCTAAATTTCTTTCCTCCTTCAAGCAAACTACCTCATAACAAACCTGTGGTGAGGACGTCGGCAGTGGCAAATTAGTCAGAATTATTAGGCTAAGAAATGGTGGAAATGTACAACCCCATTTCCAAAAAAGTTGTGACGTTGTACAAAATGCAATGATGTGCAGATCATTTAAACCCTCTATTTAATTAAAAACAGTGCAAAGACAACATGTCAAATGTTGAAACTGGGAAATTTTATTGTTTTTTGAAAAATACATGGCCATTTTGAATTTAATGCCAGCAACATGCTTTAAAACAGTTGTGACGGTTGCATGTTTACCACTGTGTTATCACCTCTTCTTTTAACTACACTCTGTAAGCATTTGGGAAGTGAGAGGACCAATTGCTATAGTTTTAGTAGTGAAAGTTTTCCCATTCTTGCTTGATATAGGATTTCAGCTGCTCAACAGTTCAGGGTCTCCTTTGTCATATTTTTTGTTTCATAATGCACCAAACGTTTTCAGTGGGTGACAGGTCTGGACTGCAGGCATGGCCAGTTTTGCACCTGGATTCTTTTACTATGGAGCCATGCTGTTGTAATACATGCAGAATGTGGTTTGACATTGTCTTGCTGAAATAAGCAAGGCCTTCCCTAAAAAAGACATTGTCTGGATGGCAGCATATGTCGCTCCAAAAGCTGTATATATCATTCAGCATTAATGGTGCCTTGCACCGCTATATGATCATGGCTGCTAGCTTTTAAAATGTGCACTGATAACAAGCTGGATGGTCCCTCTCCTCATTAGCCCAGCTGATGCAGTGTCCATGATTTGCAAAAAGAATTTCAATTTTTGATTTGGTACACTTTCCCTTCTTGTCTCAGTCATCTTAAATGAGCCCAGGCCCAGAGAAGGTGACAGTGTTTCTGGATCCTGTTTATATATGGTCTCTTCTTTGTGTGATAGAGTTTTAACTTGCATTTGTGGCTACAGTTATGAGCCGTGTTCACAGAGAGTGGTTTTCAGAAGTGTTCCTGAGCTCATGCAGTGATTTCTACTATAGAATCATGTCATAGATGATGAAATCCCCAAGTTCTTTGCTATTTTGCATTGAGAAACGTTTTTCTTGAATAGTTGCACTATTTGCACAGTCTTTCACAGAGTGGTGAACCTCTCCCCATGTTTACTTCTGAAAGACTCAGCCTCTCTGGGATGCTCTTTTTTATATTCAGTGATGTCACACACCTGTGGCCAGTTAACTTAATTGGTTGTGAGATGTTTCCACCAGGTGTTTTTTTAGCATTACACAACTCCACCACACTTTTATTTCCCCTGCCCCAACTTTTTTGAAACGTGTTGCTGGCATCAAATTCAAAATGGGCATATATTTTTCAAAAACTATGAAATTTCTTGGTGTAAACATTTGATATGTTGTCTTTGTATGATTTTCAATTAAATATATGGTTTAAATGATTTGCACATTAATGCATTCTGTTTTTATTTACATTTTGTACAGCGTCCAAACTTTTTGGAAATGGGGTTGTATTAGTGAGGAACGTATAAAATCCTGGTCAAGTGGAGGATGGTGCTGTTTTATTCCATTCCTGAAGCTGAGAAAAAAATTGGATTAAACTCTGTGGAAGACCAAACTCACAGCTCAGTGACAAAACTATGAACACAGATTTATGCTGGCTGTATTTCAGGCTAAACTTTATCTGGGTTACTGTATTTGCTCCAAGTGATTTTTATTGATGTCTAATGATAAATAACATTACAGAAATATATTAACATCATTTAGCTAACTAGCTAGCTTTTCTTAATACAGCTGCTGACAGCTAGCTTGATAAATTGACTAAGCCAATCAGACTGATCCCAAAACCCACCCTATTTTCATCAGCTGTCCAATCATTGCTTAGTAACCACTGCCAGCTGCTTTTCAGCTTTTTTTCAGGTGAGGACTTTAACAACACATGTGGATATATTTTGGCCAAGAGATAAACCTGCTGACTTAACATACCATAACAGAATAAAAGTTTTGTCTTCATCTCATCTCCAAAGCCAAAAATAAACCAGCTTTGGATTGGTCTGTGTGATAAACCTATGTGGTTTCCAAACACACCTGTTTTTCTCCATTTGCAAGTCTCAGTACATTCTTAGTTGTTACACTATATGGCCAAAAACATATAAACACCTCTCTTACTTATGGAATTCAGGTGTTTCAACCTCATTCATTGCTAACAAGTGTATAAAACACACAGCCATGCAATCTCTATAGACATGTATTAGCAGTAGAATGGGTCGTACTGAAGAGTTTAGTGATGTTAAACATGGCACCATCATAGGATGTCACATTTGCCACAATCCAGTTAGCAAAATTTTTGCCTTGCTGGTTCTGCCCTGGTCAACTGTAAGTGCTAAAAATTGTGAAAAGGAGATGTTTCTGAGCAACAAAAGCTTGGCAATGAAGCAGTAAACCATGCAAACAGTGCAGGTCCTCTGTTGCATTGTTTATTACTGAGCTCCAAACTGCCTCTAGAAGCAACATTAGCACAAGAACTTTGCATTAGGAGCGTCATAAAATGGGTTTCCTTGCAGTTGATCTCAAGCCTAAGATCACTATGCACAATGCCAAATGTCAGGTGGAGTGGTGCAAAGCAGCAGTGGAAACATTCTCTGGAGTGATGAATCACTGTTAAAGCCACAACGAGGGGCCACATTCCATATTTATGCCCATGGTTTTGGAACGAGATGTCCAACAACCTCGTTGTTGGTCAGGTGTCCACATATTTTTGCACAAGTAGTGTAGTTTGACTGAATATTCAGTGGTGTCGCTCCACACGTGAGCCTGAGAGGCTGTGCGGATTTTTTTGTTGAGACCAGCTTTATTAAGTTACTGTTTCAACTCTGTTATCTATGCAGTCAGTTAACTTTCTTAAATAGACAAAGTAAGCAAACCTGCCTCAAGATCAGCAGAGAAAGCAGCAGCAGAACACATTTCCTTTCATTTCATTTATTTGTCTATAACAGACTGAAACCAGGGCTATTAAACTTTTTGGCACAAACCAGGTGGTTATGTCAGTGGTTATGTCCTCCCATAATGGCTGTGTTGCATTTTGGGAAGCAGTATGTTGCAGAGATAGCTCTGTCCGCTTACTGAAATATTTGACTGGAGTAGTATGTCATCTGGGTATCTTTGGGCCCAATCCCATTACACCCCTGCCCCTACCACTTAGCCTTACCCCTCTATTTTGCACGTTCACATCTAGGGGTAAGGTGTCCCGATTTCTGTTGAGATAGTGGGGTAGGGCGAAGTGTTAGAGCTACATGGCCCTCCAAACGGAGGTTTTTCAGAGGCTCACTCCAAACAGAGTGTTATGAGGAAAAAAGAAAAATCAGCCACGTGGCTGCGCAAACGAACATAGAAACATACAAATGTAACACAGAATGTAATTGCTGCACCATTTAAGATGGAACAGGAAGATTTGAACACGAAACTAGCGGATAGCTGACTTCAGCTTCATATCACCAAAGAATTAGGGGTGGGCGATAATGAATGATTGCCCCCTCCCTCCCTTTGAAGACATACGATGCCCTAAATTAAACTAAACACAAGCAGTGAGGTGCTGAACTTTACCCTCCTCTGCTATCACTGCAGACTGGCAGAGTTGACTACAGAGCAGCACTAGTAGCTGTTAATGAAGTAATGTCCTTTTTTATTTGAGGGTCCCATTTCGTAGGGGAAGATTTTAACCGCTACCTCGTGTAACTCAGTTCCAAGGTGCAAGGTGACACTTGAAAACGAGGGGTAGGGTTATAAAAATAAGAAACAGGATTGGGCCTTGGTGTACTCGGGTAAATTCATGTTGGACATATACTGCACACTGCTTACTACTTTTGGGCACAATCATTACCTGAGTAGTATGTAGTTGATTATTTCAAACACAGCCATTGCTCTGACTAGCTAGAGTATTAACTTTATTAGCATTAGCTCATCTGAAGGGGCAGCTTCCTTCGCTAAAATCTCCTTTTTACTGGACATGACAACCTGCTGTTTAAACATCAAGTGACTAAAGGATTTCCCTGGTTTGGTTGCTCTAAGCATGGCTTTCAGGATCTATTTTTTCTTTGCTTTAAATTGGCCTACATTCATATTTTATCAGTTCTCAAACATGTAGCTATGTCTACACTGAACACCCTGTCAAACCAGTTTATCTTTGAATTAAAAATGTTTCAAATGTGCTACTGCTTTTTAGTCTGTTAGCACAAGAGTTATGCTACCAGGTGTCCTGAGCTGAAAGTTTGATGGATGTAACTAAGAGAAGCAGGACCTTCTCAGAAGTTTGATTACAGCTGCATGACTGAGCAGGTGTTCCTAAGAAAACGTTGGGCGGTAAGTGTGCATGCTAATATTTCAAAAGTATTTACGGATGGTAATGAGCTTCATTACAGACTGGTTTGTCTAACGCTTCAGCTGTTTGACTTGGAATCTTATCAAGCCAGTTTCTGTTTCTCAGAACACTGTTTCCTATGAACCTGTAGGGCCTTGAAGAGGGCTGCATGTAAGATAATAGAAAGAGAGTGGTAGGAATCCTGTACTGTAGACTGCAATTATAATCACATTGCTTACAAACCGCAGACAGTCTGATGAGATAGAGGTACAAAGTTCTTTGCATGTTTTTATGCTCCTGTGGCATTCGCCTGACAAGCATGCCAACATAACAAAGAAAACAATGACATTTAAATCATTAGCTTAAATCATTAGCTTTTAAATAAAGATTCCTTCATGGTGTTCTGACAAAATGAAATTTAATTACAGAGACCTTCAGGTTTTGCTGGACTCGCTCAGGGACTGTGTACCTGGTGTGATGTCATGCTTTTTTTATTGTCAATTTAAGCAGCAGTGCAGTAGGATATGTACAGCTGGGGTAAAGTCAGTGGAAGGATAATAACCATTTACTCACGTGCTTCAGTATTTTCAAGAGGTAATACTTTTACTACTACTTAGGCATATTTGTAAGGAATCTACTTTTCACCCTATTACACGTGTGTCATTTAAATTTAGTTACTAATCCACTTTTGTGTTTAATTTCATTGGTGACCGCATGTGTACCACTTTGTATTTCGTTACATCCTCTGTCTTTTGAGGTTTATCATTTTATTTTGTACCAAAAGTGCATCAGCAAGAGAAGAACAGAGTCTAACGAACTTCAGTTCCTATGGTATTAGATGGTCGACTTGCTATAAATGGAGAGAATATAGTGAATGGAATGAAAGGGGTTGAGAGATAGAAAGAAAGGATTTATTAGTCACAAATGGAGTGAAAATAATGGTGTGAAAGAGTGTGAGGGATGTGAGAAAAAAGAAAGAAATTTGGAGAGAATGTGGTGAATAGAGTGAAAGTAAGAGGGTGAGAAAGAAAAATGGAAGAAAGAAAAGACATGGTATGTGTTCAGATCTTGTTGTGTAAAGATCTGTCCATCATTAGAAATACATTCTTAAAAATACAGATCCCAAAAAGGTTGTAATGCCATAGAAGAACTGCTTTAGGTTCCCAAAAGAACCTTTTAAAGGATGGTTCTTTAAATAACCCTGTAGTACTAGAAAATAGCAAGGCTTTGCGAAGAGCAAAGTAATGTATTATCTCATTATCTCCGCTCTCTCTCTCTCTTTCTCTCTCTCTGTCTCTATCTGTCTCTCTTTCTCTCTCTATATATATGTATATATATATATATATACACAGAGGAGATAATGAGATAATGAGACCAGAACAAGCTACAGGTGAGTGTGATAATGAGTGGGCGGAGCCAGGCTGGAGCTGGAGTGGCCAATACAAAATGGGAGAGTCCATGTGCTGCAGAGGGAAGACCTCGTGACACACTCATAAATCTCTTTTTCAGACATGATTCTTTAGGGAACCAAAAGTGATTCTTCTATGGCACACGTGTCAGGCTCCAGTCCTCGCAGGCCAAAGCACTGCAGACTTCAGCACACTGTCTCATTAAACACACCTAATTCAACTCATCAGCTAATTAGCAAGGCCTTCATAAACTGAATTCACAGCGTTAGATGAGGGTAAACATTAATCTCCGCAGCGCTTTGGCCTGGAATGTCCCGTTTTACTGATTCTATGGCATTGTTCAAAGAACGTACTGTAGCACTTTTTTTAAACAGTGTAGATACATGAATCTGCTAAAGACTCACTGACTCACACATACACACTCTTCCACACACAGTCAGTCACACACACTCCTAATACTCAAACTCACATGACTCATACAGCCACCTGATTTCATTTAAGGACACGAATGGCTCAGTATCGAAAGAAAATATGTATCAAAAAGCACCTCTACTGGGGGTTGCACATCAGAGATAAAATCCCAAAGATGAACTTCCAAAACAATTCATAAATCAAAGAGACGAAAGGAGTCAAGTGAGGCAGAGGAGCAGCTCCTGTCTCGCTGTTGTAGATGAAGGTGCATTGGTAAGATACTGGATGTATTATATTAATCCTGAGCAGAGAAGAAGGTGTTGTCCTGAGTCTCGATCATCTTAATGAGGACTTTAGGATGAGAGTTGGGTTTCTGAGGCACAGCACTGCCTGGAAAAGACATACTTCAGTTCATATAAAGAAACATGACGGGACCCAATAGACTTAAACTGAACTCTACTAACAGCTAAGAGCTAACAGTCTGATCGACTGGCTTCTGAGCTCTTATTCCAAACAATCAATACAAATGACTGAGCAACAGTTTTAGAGAAAAATATATTGATGATTGATTGGGAAAAATACTTGGACCCTTTGTGGGACACCCTGTACTGTATAATAACTGTGAATAAACAGATACTTACTGTTTCTTGGCACAGTCTGGACATGCAGAACAGGTTCTTGTCCAATTCTAATGGGTGACAAATACAGAGGTAATTTTACTGAAAGGGCACCTGCACCAGTTTTTAACACAATTCATATAATTTGCTTGTTGAGAGATGCAGTGTGGTTTGAAAAACATTCTACATTCTAGAGAAACGTAGCACACTGGATTTCTTTGCAGTGTTAGAGAGAGAAATCAGGGGTCATAACATCTATAGTGCAAAGGGGGCTGGTTTCCTTTGGTATCTAAAGCAGTGAAGCTACACGTCTTCCTTATGTTGTGTTTCATGTGTAATGTTGACACTAAACTGGGGCTCAGTTTTCTTTAGGTACCCTTTTAGTGCATGTATTTCACTGAAGTAAAATGAAGGTTGAAGGCCAGAATCATTGAGTCTGTTTACATGCACTCAATAATCCGATCATAATCAGATTTCTGCAGTTATCTGATTATTCAAATGGTCATATAAAGAGCATACTCTGATTTCTTATATTGGAGTAAGGTCTAGAAATTCAATTAAGAAATCTGATAAAGAGAGCTGGATACTAGCTCAATAATCAGATTTCACAGTGCATGTAAACTCTTACTCTGATTTCTTTCAGATTTCTCTGTGCATGTGCAAAAACAGACAGTGGTACTGGAAATAAGTAAGCAGCGCTGCCGCAAGACTCAGGAAAACACTTTTGGAGCAACGCTGAACCCAACTACATGCTTGATGAAATGAAGAATATAAGTATTCTTCATCTTCTAGATGATGTATGTTCATATTTTTAGGTAAAATGGTGAGATATTTTAAAAAAAAAAAAGCCACGGCATGAGTTTTACATTAGGTTTACGCCACGTCTTCGAGTTTATTGGCCGGTTGCAAAGCAGAAATCCGATTATTGACTCATGTAGACTTGGAGTTTCCCCATTATCTGATTACTCAAGTGCATGTATTGGATTACGGACAAAATCTGACTTTCTGCAGATATTGGATTATTAAGTGCAGGTAATTGACTTGCATGTAATGGACCCAATGTTTTATTGCACACTTATATAACTTAAGAATAACTTGTTTGCGTTCAAGTCCCTGTAGTTACTGTATAATAAGTCTTAGTATGTAATTAGCCAGACATTTTAAAGGGTTAAACTACAGCAAAAAAAAAAAAAACATGCTTGTAATCATTTCATGTAATAACATTCTGTGAATTAGACCTTGGTTTCCTATCCCTGCCATTGTGCAAAGTTCTGAACTTCTAGAATGCTGATTAACAATTGTTTCTGAATAAATTATTTAATTAATAAATTAATTATTAAATAAATGATTTTAATAAATAATTACTTTACTTGTAATATGTCATCCAAAAATGCTAGCATAGCTAAAACTGACTGAAATAGTCAACATTTACTCCATAACTCTATCAGGCCATTTCTACCCTCCACTGGCTGCATTTATTTGTGTTTATTAATGACGTTTCTCTCACCGGTTCTCTTCTCCTTCCAGCAGTTTCCTGTAGGTGGCGATCTCGATGTCCAGTGCCAGTTTGACATTCATCAGCTCCTGATACTCGCGGAGCTGCTTGGCCATGTCCTGCTTGGCTTTCTGCAGTGCCTCCTCCAGCTCTTTGATTCGCTGCTGGGCATCACGCACCGCCTCCTCACCACGATGCTCCGCCTCCAATATCTGACTGTCCACACTGTCACGCTGCAGAGGTCAATAAGAGATCAAACAGGTGTACACATACACAGTTCTAAAATATTCTAAAATATCAAAAACTATTTAAAATCCAAATAATATGGACTCATAGCTGTACAGTTCTTACAGTACTTCCTCATTGCTTACACAGTAAAACTGGACATGCTGTGCTGTCATGAATGAGAGTGGTTTATGAATGAGGTCAAAATACAAATGTATTTTATACACGTAATAATGCTGGAAGAATACCACAACCCCCTCAGATCTAGCTATGACTTTCTACTAGAAAGTATAATAAATCTACTCTGTTATACAGTAAATATGTTAGTCTATAGTTTTTCTCTTTAATCAGTAATAAAAGAAAGAAAGATTGGTTTATTGCTATGCTTTATTGGTTTGAAAATATAATGAGAATATAATGAATCGAATGAAAGACATGGTAAGAAAGAAAGAAAGAAAGAAAGAAAGAAATAGGTCTTTGGCTGTGGACTGTGTCTGAAAGTCTGTAGCTATAGTGATTAGAGATTCAGTGCTGATTTGTTGCTATGGTGATTGTGTGTGGCTTTATATCTGGTTGCCTTAGTGATGTGGTTGTTACCTGCGCTTTAGCCGAGGTGATTTCCACATGCAGGCGACTAATTTGTCTGTTGAGCTCCGAGATTTCATTCCTACTGCTCTTAAGCTCTGATTTGTGCTGCTCAGCCTGAGACAGAACCAGCTCATACTGGAGAGAGATGACATCACATGTTACTGATACATACCTGATAACACTGATAACACACACTCATACGTATTTATTATATATATATGTAAGCACTTTTATGCAATAATAATATATCCTGTATGTATTATATGTAAATGCAAGTATCTTCATGTAAAAATGATACTGTATGTCCCATATATATATATATATTTAGTATATTTACAGTAAAAACATTCTTACCTTTGAACAGAAGTTAATGGAACAATATTTTATCATAATTTTTATTTTAAGTGTGTATCAGCACTGTCAAATCTCTCCAAAACTGTAAGTTACTGTTAAGAGATTCTATTAAGGGATCATTTTTGTTGGTCCGCTTGTCATTACATTCTCACACAGTGTAAAGAGCAGCTGGTATCAGTTTCAAATCATGTCAAAAAAGAAAATCAACATAAATGGAGATACAAGGTCAGACAGTGACATTGATCTGCTGGACCCACTACATTATTGTTTTTCTAAATCAATACAGCCATAACAGTTTATGTAAAAATACAAGATGTTTAAAATATCACAAGTGTCCAGCGTAGGGTTCTCCTTTAGCAGCTATAGCCAGTCAGCAGCCTGTCCATGTTGTCCACCCTCACACACACACACACACACACACACACACACATATACAAACATACACACACAGACACACACACTAACAGCAGGCCATGTAGGAGGAGAACAGATTGAAGGACACAGCACCTCAACGCTTTTATTCCCAACGGGTTCAGCCAACACCACATGTATAATATAAATGTGTGGGGGGTGAACAGTGTGAAGTCACTGAAAACGTGTTATATTATATGTTCTTCACAGAAAATGAGAAAAGGCCAAGAAAACTGGGGTTGAAATAATAATAATTCACATCATTTTTTCTTTTGGTAAACAGTTTTGTCCTATTGAAAGCAGATTTGATCAATATTAATAGTGGATTTTTCTTCATTTCCTTGTAGTTTTAATGTTAACTGTATTCAAAAGCATGAAAAATGGCAAAAATAAAGACATTTTTTTTTTTTGCCAGGTGTGTCTTAAATTTCAGTTTCTGTTGCTGCTAGGAATTTTCATTTTCTAACCTGCTAGGAATTTTCATTTCTAACCTTAAACCTAACGCTTATCCTGATCCAGTAGCTGAAAATATTTGCCTTCACTCTTTCAGTTCACCTTTTTTAAAGCACTTTATGAAGTCAGGAGCTATTTCTCTTTATTAAATCAGGAGTTAGTGAGCATTGTAAGTTAGCCCACACAAGTTCACACACACACACTGCATTTTAGTCTAGTGTGTGAGTGTGTGCTGTCATATGAGATTAATTAATGTGTTTCAGTTTCGTTGGAAAGTTCAGTAACCAGCTCCTGGAACACGGACAGATGAATCAGCTTGTCACGTATACATCTACTCAGTTTCATGTACACACCTTTGGTGGATTTCTGAGTATTTTTGAATGATCATATATTCACTTCTACTTAAGTTTATTGTGGAAAAGTATCTACTTCTTACTCAGTTTCATTATAGTCAACAGGTTCCTAATTCAGTTTCATTTAGTATTATTTAGTTCTGCTTTGCTGTTGCAAAGCTCACTCTGGACCATTAGCATTCATTTTAGACCAAAAGAATAGAGATTAACAATCTTTAGTTCCTTTAGTTTTGATTGATGCTCAATGTTCTTACTAAGAGGTTCCACTGCAGTTCTATAGGGAACTCAGTGGATCATTTTAACCTGATACTGCTTGATGAGCAGGTATAAGTGTGTTCACCTTGTTCTTGTGCCAGTCTTCAGCCTCCTGGCGACTGCGCGATGAGATCTGCTCGTACTGGCTCTTCACCTCCGCCACAATCTGCTGCATGTTCAGCTGCCTGCTGTTATCCATCTGAACCACCACAGAGGTGTCTTTCAGGTCCTCCTTCAGCTCCCGCAACTCCTGCAGAGAGACGAAGAGAGACGGATTGAGAGAGATGTTTTTATAAACGCATCAAAAGTATCCAGACACCCCTTTTAATGAGTAAAATCAGCTGCTTTAAGGTCCATCCAGTGCTGACACAGCTTGTGTAATCTCCATAACAGAACACTCCTGATAGAATGGGATGCTCTGGAGCAGCCTAGGGTCACCATGCCCAGTGCCAAGCACCAGCTAAAGGAGTATAAAGCCCCCCAGCATTGGGCTGTGGAGCAGTGGAGCTGCGTTCTCTGGAGTGATGGAGTGATCCAGAACTAAACATCCAACATCAGTGCCCAGAGGTGGGAACAAGTCACTAAGTGGCAAGTAACAAGTAAGTCTCAAGTCTTGGCACTCAAGTCTTGAGTCTAATCCTGAGTCACTACAGGTGAGTCTCAAGTCGAGTTCCAAGTCAGTAGTCCTAACCTTTCAGTCCTAAACAAGTCAGTCTGCATTCTTCAGCTAATTTAAGGCCACAACACTTAATAATGGTAACAGTACTATACAGTACTATAGCCTTTTAATGACAGCATGTTAGTAGTGTATGGCTGTATTTTAATGGAGGTGAACTTGAACTGTATCGCTTCGCTTGTCTTCTGAAATAAAATAAACTGAGCATAAACACAGTGGTAGACATCTGACGACGCTGCTGTATGTCAGACTTACAGCACGAAACAAATCCATTCACATGAAAAGCAGCTGACTGTGTAGCAGTCTGCAGTCACACTCTCTATGTTTCTTCCACTCAAGTCTTTCTGAGTCTTAAGGCTGAAGTCCGAGTCAAAGTGTGAGTCATTGGTGTTGAAGTCAAAGTCTTTCTCAATTTTCTCAAGTCGAGTCTCAAGTCATCAAATTCGTGACTTGATTTAGACTCGAGTCCAAGTCATATGACATGACACCTCTATCAGTACCTGACCTCACTAATGCTCTTGTGGCTGAATGCAGTCACATCCTCACAGCAACGTTCCAACATCTAATGTAAAGCCTTTCCAGAAGAGTAGAGGCTGATACAGCAGCAAAAGTGGACAAACTCTCTCTTAATACCCTTGATTTCTGAAGAAACGTTGGATGAACAGGGGTCTACAAACTTTTGCACATGCAAAGTTTGAACACCACTGGTCAAATGACATGTTTGGTTGCGTTACTTTTGCACAGATGATTTTTATAGTATGTCATATTCAGCAAATGACAGTAATTGTGCATTAAAGTGTGTGTTTTCTATAGAGGATGTGGCTTATTTTCACTTAGTGTATTGCAAGATATGGTACTTTACATTTTTTATATGTTAAATAATGTAGAAACACTGACCTGTTTGTGTTAGTTTCAGGATAAGATTTCCAAATAGACAAAAAAGCATATCTGTTAGTGTCTCTGGAACAGAGCGTCTGCTAAACATCGTAAATGTAAAAGTAACCGAGTGTGTTTAAGCACCTGCTCATAAAAGGCCTTCAAGAAGTTCAGGTCCTCCAGAATCCCAGACACTTTGTTCTCCAGCCCGGTTTTTGCGAGATATCCAACATCAACATCCTGTCAGGACATGAAAGCGATCAGACAAATCATAGTGATTTTGGTTTTACAGGTTTTTGCAAAAGTATGGGCACCCTGGTCAAGTTATATGTTTTGCTGATTTGTGAAAATAAGTTTTGTAATGATTTAATGCACAGTTACTGTTTATTTGCTGAATTTCACATATTGGAAAAAATCTAAATAAAATGTGGCCTGTGCAAAAAATGGCACAATTTCTATTTTATGTTTCAATTTTTTTCCCAATATGTCAAACCCAGCAAATAAATCAAAACTGTGTCCTAAAGTGTCTTATTTAAGTTTGAGCGACACTTTATTTTGAGTGGTCCTTTTTAGATGAAACATTAGTGAGAGTATGTTGAGTGTATATGTCGAAAACATATGAGGGTCAGGATTAGGTTTTGGGTTGAGGTTGAGGTTAGGGTTAGGATTAGGGCCAGAGTTAGGATTAGGTTTTGTGTAAGGTCGGTAAGGTGAGGTTTTGTATAATGAAAGTAACATATTAACAATAAATCTACTTAATATAAGTAACGTATCAACAGAACATCTACAAGATGTTTATTTCAATGTATTCAGATGCTTCACTACTGCTACTTCACTGATATGTTGCTGATGTATTACTGATAATCTGTTAAGAGTTTATTAATCATCTACAGAGGACTTCTTCACTTAGAAAATCAGCAAAGCATGTAATTTGACCAGGGGTGCCTGATATTTTGCACATGACTGCGTGTGTGTGGGTGTGTGTTCATGCAAGTTACGTTAGTGTCATACCTTCTTCACAAGCACGAAAGCATTTTCAGCTTCATTTCTCTTATTAATCTCATCTTCAAACCTGTAGGGAGGAGAACTGATATGTGGTCAAGCCGGCCATGCTGTAGTAAGTACAGTAAAATGCATTGAGGTGCAGCTTTAGGCTTAACTTGTCAAACTGAATTTTACACTGTCAGTCACACTAATAATCCAGCTCTTAGAAACACAGTTATCACAGTTTTTTCTTTTAAAAGGGTTTAACTGAAGTGTTTAAGGTTAAGCCTGGAGCTTACAATGATAGTAACCTCTATGTGACGCTAATCAGTGCACTAAAGTCAAGCTGAAATCAAAATGTGCCTATGTCCCTTTAAAAGTCCCTGGTCATATTAAGCTTGATTCATCAAGTGATATCATCATGTTTTCCACCTTAATTCTCCATCAGAATGTCTTTTGTCTGTCTCTAAAACGCCTTCAGATTTTTGATCATGTTACTGTGCCGCAGCAGATGGGTAAACTAACATTAACCAATAACATCATGTTTTACTTCCCCCTTCAACCACCTCCACCTATCATGGAGAGAAACTGCTAAGCTAGCTCCAGATTTCTGATTCATTTTGACTTTTAATGTCAGAATTCAATCAATTAAAATGTTTATGAAGTCTAGATTTACAAGCATTTCACAATGGAAATGAAAAGAAAGGACTACGGCCAGCAGATCCAATGATGAAAATGAATTCAAATTAAATCAAAAATCATCACATTATCTTACTGGTTAGCTCACATGTGTCAGGCTCCAGTCCTCGTGGGCCTAAACACTACAGACTTCAGCACACTGCCTCATTAAACACACTAGAAAAAAACTAGAAATCATTTTTGTGTGTCTATACCGAATGATTGATTGTGCAGCCCTAACTGGCAGGCAAGCTTAAAACCACAGCTCCTGATTAGCCCTGCCACTCATTCGTCTATCAGACATTCCCCTTTAGCTAGCCTCTGAGCTATTAGCAATTATGTTTATCTCAGAGAGACACAGCACACCATAGCAGGCGTCTAGCCAAACAGGTGAGGTAGTTTTATGGTGTGTCATTTGTATTCAGAGAAAGTGATCTGACTTGTATTTGAACCACGCTCCTGCTCCACGATGCTAATTAGCTGCTGAAACAGGTGTGCTTTGGCCGGGAAATACTTCTTGGTTCAGTTCTGTGGCTCACTGGGTGACATACTGACATAGTGTGCTACTACTTTTTAGATTTAGTGATTTTTTTAGTAATATATTTGATAGATCAGGCATGTCAAACTGGGGACCTTCCAGGCCAAAGTTCTGCAGAGATTACCCTCATCTAATGCTTTAAATTCAGTTTATGAAGGCCTTGCTAAATTAGCTGATGAGCTGAATCAGTTGTGTTTAATAAAGTAGTGTGCTGAAGTCTGCAGTGCTTTGGCCCATAAGGACTGGAGCCTGACACACGTGTGGTAGATGGACATACAAAGTTGTATGCAAAAGTTAGGGCACTCAAATGATGTGTTGGGCTCATTTTCTAAGTGAAAATAAGTAACACATCCTCTACAGAAAACTCACTCTTGCATATTTCAATGCACATTTATTGCTTATTTACTGAATTTAACATGAAACATAGAACAAAATATGAAATGCGGCCTGTGCAAAAGTTATGGCACAAATATTTTGTGAATATTTTAGAAATTGTGGACCAAAAATGGCACATTTAAACATGTTCCCTGTAGAGGATGCAAAACATGTAATTTTACTGGGGGCATTCAAACTTTTGCATACAACTGTAATGCCTATAAAATAGCAATGTCCCATTTGCCAGATGTTCTGTTTTTTAGTTCTATTTCATGCTTTTTACACCAACTTGACAGTTTCCTTACAACAGGGGTGCCCAGTCTTATCCTTGAATAGCTGGTGTGGCTGCAGCTTTACATTCCAAACAAGCAGGACCACACCTGATTCCACTTGTCTAATCAATTAGTCTCAGTCTTCAAATGATGAATCATGTGAGGTCCTGCAAACACCTGCAGCCGCACCAGCCCTTCTTGAATAAGACTGGACACTGGGATTTAAATGTGTACAATTTGCTGGATGCTTTAGATTGTTTTGAAAGAACAGTTTAAAATACATAAAATGTTTTCTCATTTCTCTTTCTTATTTTTTGTCTGGTTGACATTTACAGTACTGTGTAAGCTTTCCTTTCTTGTAATCTTAATAAAAGAAAACAATCAAAACAAGCTGTATCAGGTTTGTTACACATTCTTTTGGCATGGAGTTTGAGCACTGAGGAAACGTGGGCTCATTTACTTTATTAAAGGCAAATATACTGAAATGTATCAATACCACCCATCGCTATATGGGTTACACTGGGGGACCACCTTCAGAGTCTGTTCCGAATGCCTGACCTTTGTTTGTTGTCCTCCACCAGCAGGTGGACACTGCGGAGCTCAGAGTCCAGTCGCTCCTTGTCTCTCTTCAGGCCGTCCAGGTGGGCCTGCAGGGTGCTGAGGTAGACCTTCATCATGGGCTCCAGCCTGGAGTCAGAACGCGTCTCACCCTGCAGCAACTTCCACTTTGTCTCCAGCATCTTATTCTGCTGCTCCAGGTGACGCACCTGAGAGAGAGAGAGAGAGAGAGAGAGAGAGAGAGAGAGAGACATCAAGAAGGAATATGAGGTAGATGAAAAGAGACATAGATAGATACATAGAGATCATATGAGAAAGAGAGAGATTGAGGAAGATTTATTTATTTGAAGATTTATTTATTCAGTATTTATTTTTAAGTCAGAGTCGTAAAAAATAACTTTTAACTGAAGTCATAAACAATATTACTATGACCTTAATTATAGTCAGCTAGTTATAATCAGCTAGTTTACTGCACTAAATAACAAAATAAGGTATTTAAAAATAGTTCTTTTGAGAACCTTTCAATGGATGGTTCTTTAAAGAAGCCTTTTTTGAAAATGAGTGTGAATAACATTTTTAAAGTTCAAAGAACTTCCACATAATGAAAAGGTTCTTTACCAAATAAATGTTTTTTTCCTAGAACCATACATCTAAGCCAGGGACTGTTTAGGAACCTTTGTTTTCCTTTATACCTGTCCAAGGTGTTTCCTGCCTTCTGCCCAATGAACGCTGGGATAGGCTCTAGCAGACCCTGCGACCCAGGAGGGTAATTAGCTTAGATAATGTGTGTGTGTGTGTGTGTGTGAGTGTGTGTGTGTGTGTGTGTGTGTGTGTGTGTGTGTGTGTGTGAGTGTGTGTGTTTTTCTAAATGATCAGCAGTGTAGTTGGATTGTTACACCCTTAAAAAATAAAGGTCCCCAAAAAGGGTTATTTGCAGAAGAACAACTTTTAGTTCTCTAAAGAACCTTCCAGTGGATATTTCTTTAGACAGTCATTTTGTAGGTGAGCATGAAAACATGTTTAAAGTTTGAAGAACTATACTGTAAAGGTTCTGGAAAGAACATTTAAAGTGTTGAAGAACCTTTGTATTATGTGAAAGTTCTTTAACATTTTAAAAGGCTCTTGACACTCACATACTTTTTTTCAAACAAGGTTCTTTAAGGAACCAGCAGTGTTTCAAATTAGAACCCCTGGCATCTTTATTTTTCAGAGTGTAAATGTGGAGGTTCCTTGAGTGAGTTGTGCAAGTGTGAAGAACCTTTGTAAAGGTCAAAGAACCTCCACATGATGTAAAGGGTCTTTAAGACAAGAGGGTACTTCCAAGAACCATTTGCATTTTTTAAAGGTTTTAAAAGGTTGCCCAACAGGTTATTTGAGTGGTTCCTTAGAAGAACCACTTTAGGTTCCCTAAAAAAACGCTCACGAAAAACATTTAGAGTGCGAAGCACCTTTTACAGGCATAAAGAACCTTTACATGATCTGGAGGTTCTTTATATTTAAAAAGGTTCTTCACACTCACGGCCAAGGCACACAAAAATTATTCTCTAAAGAAATGTTGAAAGGTTCTTTAGGGAGCCAAAGATGGTTCGTTGACTTCACTTCAAAGAACCCCATGTGGCACACTTTTTTTAGTGTATATGGTTCTTGGTTCTAGATAAAAGCTTTACTTTGTTATAGAACATTAACATTCTGTTAAAAGATTCCATCTCATTTAGAAAAAAATGCATTTATGAAGAACCATTCACTGAATGGTTCTTTAGAGAACCAAAAGTGGTTCTTGTATGGCATCACTTCACAGAACGCTTCAAGAATTTAGGAGTAAGGAAACCCAAACTCTGCAGCACTAAAGTCATTGGCTAATCTCACCTTGTCGATGAAGGAGGCGAACTGGTTGTTGAGTGTTTTGATCTGCTCCTTCTCCTGCAGTCTGACCGCATGCAGGCTGGGGTCCAGGTCCAGCTGCATGGGGGTCAGCAGGTTCCTGTTCACCGTCACGGCCTTAACAGGCACCCCGGGAGCCGGAGCATCCCCGAAACCAAAATAGGAGCTTCCTCTCCGCGGTATGGTCTCTCCAATTCGGGGGTACGAGCCCAGCGAGCGGCTACTGAAGCTCCGCGTAGTGGACATGCCGTTAACACGCTTACTCATCACTGCTCTGGCAGAGAGGAGAGGCAGACAGTGTGGACTGCTGAGTGGTTTGTGTAGTTGTGAGCTGTCAGTTTATTAGCTCAGAGTGGGGTGTGGCGGACCTGCATGTGAGGGAGCAGGTATGTACATTCCTCAGATGGACAAACCAGTTCAGCCACAGATCACACCGGTCACACACATACTGCACATTCATCTGAGACACTCACACACACTTTGTGTTGAAGCTCTTTCAGCGCTGATGTAATCTCAGTAGTGCTGAATGCTGATGGCAGAGGTTTGTGTTTTGATTGAGGAGGATATTGTGGGAAGCCAAAAAGGCCAAAATGATTTTCTCACTCCGCACAGCTGTCTGATACTGATACTTGGTGGCTGCTGCTGAAAACTAAGCCCTGTTCTACATCCCATACGAAGAAAACTTCATATCTCCAAAATGGTAACTTTACAGGAGAAGGAAAAAACATACTTTACCTTTAATGTAAGTCAATGAAACCAGAATTTTTTCCGAGTCATTTTGTGCCGTTTCTTTTGGCCCATTCATCATGAAATGCCATGTATTTTCAAATTATGTCAAAAACTGAAAAACGTCAAAAATGGAGATACGAGTTTTTGTTCCGACAACAGCGATATGTTTCCTGTATCCATACACAGTCATGTGAAGATATAAGTGCGCCCCATAAAACACTTCTTTCCTTATCTGGACTTTTCAAATGAAGTTGTGAAGGTTCTTAAACATTTTAAAAGGCTCTTCACACTCACACACTCTTTTTCAAACAAGATTCTTTAAGGAACCAAAAGTGTTTCTCCCATGGCATCACTCAATTTAGAACCCTTTGTGGCATCTTTATTTTTAAGAGTGTAAATGTAAAGGTTCTTTGAATGAGTTGTGCGAGTGTGAAGAAGAGTGTGACCTTTTTTAAGGTCAAAGAACCTCCATATGATGCAAAGTGTCTTTAAGAAGTGAGAGTTTTTCCAAGAACCATTTGCTTTTTTAAAAGGTTCTAAAAGGTTGCCCAAAGGATCGTTTAAGTGATGCTGCAGAAGAACCATTTTAGGTTGCCTAAAAAACGTTTGCAAAAGAGATTTATGAGTGTATGGAACCTTTTACAGGCTTAAAGAACCTTTACATGATCTGAAGGTTGTTTACATTTTGAAAAGGTCACTCACAGCCAAGGCACACAAAAAGGGTTCTCTAAAGAACTATCCGTTGAAAGGTTCTTTAAGGAGCCAAAAATGGTTCTTTTTGGCTTCACTTCAAAACCCACATGGCACATTTTTAGTGTACATGGTGTAAATGGATCTTCAGTTAAACAGAATGTATACACTGACGTGCCAAAAGTAATGGGACAGGAGCTAGTATCATGTAGGACCCTCTCTAACCCGGCGAAGTGCAGCAACTCGACATGGCATTGATTCCACAAGTGGACAGAAGACGTCTAAAGGGAGCTCCATGGTATTTGTAGGTGCAGGATCTCTGGTGCGAATGGACCTCTCCACCACATCCCGTAAATGCTCGATTGGGCTCATGCTGGCTGAACGTGCAGGCCACCCTATTCGTCTGAACTCTCCAGAATACTCCTCGAACCATTTCTGGACAACTTGGGCCTGATGACACAATGAATTATCCTGCTGGAATATCCCATCATTGTGAGGGTACATGAAGTCCATGAAGGGCTGCAAATGGTCACCAAGCAATGAAATGTAGCGTCAATGACGTGTTTAGCTGGACAAGTGGACCCAGCCCATGTCATGCCAACACACCCCACACCAGTATAGAACCACTACCAGCCTGCACAGTGCCTTGTTGACAACTGTGGTCCATGGCTTCATGGGGTCTGCGCCACACACAAACCCTCCCACCAGCCTGAAACAATTGGTACTGTGGCCATCGGACCACGCCACATGTTGCCAGTCCTCTATGGTTCAGTCAGCAACCTCACAAGCCCAGGTGAGGCGCTGTGTCCGGTGTTGTGGTGTTAACAGAGGCGCTTCAGTGGGTCTTCTGCTATCATATCACATGGAGGCTAAAGAATGCCTGAACTGACCTGATACTTTTAGTGAGACCATCGTAAATAAGGCATGAATCTGATCCTTGGTCAGCACTTCAGCTTTAAGAAGCTTTGTGAAAGTAGGCCCTGGTCTCACAAAGTCAGCTACTCTGTAATTCTAACAGGCTCATCAATCATATGAAAGGCTACTCTTTGTCAACACCTCACAGTTTTTTTACAGCGTTTCCTTAAACCCTGATGGTCAGCCTACTTTAATGAGAGGACAATACTCCAGTTTATCTGCAAATAACACCTCACAGCTTTTTCACAGCGAGTCCTTCAGTAAATACCTAAACTTAAATCCTGCTGGTCAGCCTACTGTACAAGGGCAGAATACTCCAGTCCTATCAGGAAATAGTTTGGCGCCCTCTGCTGGTCACTGAAGAGATCTGCAAGTTCCTTACACATGCAATAACGCCTAAGTATATATAAGATATATTATTTTAAATATATTTAAAATACATGGCCTTTATTGCATATTTAAGGAATTTGTTTCCCCATTTCTTACTGTAGTAGAAGTGTCGTCCGTTCTCTATTTATATATTTCAATAACATTTCAAGAAGAAGATTTGATTTTGACCTATTTCGAATTCAAATAAAGTAACAATAGTTCATTTTCTACTGCCAATTGCATTCATACTTTGGACATACCATATACTTCAGTGTGCACTTAAAGGGGAACCATGGATTTTTCAAAAATTCTGCAGAATCAAGTGGTTGAAATCAACAAAATCATTGAGAATGGTTTGGCCTTAAATGCTCTGTTCTAGAGAAACTTGCCGAGTCAGAATTGTTCACAGCGGTTGTGATAGGAACCAAATGTCTGAAGGGTTTAATGCCTCTGAAAGCTCCTTCACAAAAAGTTATTACAGGAAATGGTTAGACACATGCTGCCTGATCTGCTCTGACAAATTGTTCTATGATAGTTTTGTGATAAGGTTTTGGCTCAAAATGTATTTTAATCCATTTATTTCAATCCATTCATGCCTGAGGGCTACATGCAGGACGTTGTGAGGCAAAATAGTCCCCAAAGAAAACATATTTTTCAGGTTTATCACTGATTTACCATCATCAACATTACATATAAAAACTCAGAAGACACGTGTAGGTTCACTGGTGCTTTCGGAAAGTAAATAAAATGGCTATATTTGTGTTGTAGACATGGTGGCGCCTAGTTCCTATCACCACCACTGTAAAGAAATCAAAGTGTGTAAGTTTCTCTACAATGAACCAGTAATCACCAGACCACTCTAAATGACTCTGTATGTCAAGGACTGAAATATTCAGAAATTTCCCCCCAGTAGCTGTCAAAAAGACTACAAACTACAAGTGACTTTTTACTGTTTGGCTTTAGAAGGCCGTGTACTGTGCTGTCTGGTCGTACCCTTTACTTCGCGACCTTTATAGCGCCCTATGTAGGGAGTAGGGAGCTCTTTGAGATTCGGCTTTGCAGCGCTACGCTCCAGCAGAGGGCGACAAAGAGCAGCGTCAGATCTCGCAGCTGGGAAACTCTGTGGTTGCTGAGCGCTCTTGTTTACGTCTGGGTGAAATTTCAGAAGAAAACAGAGGACCGTGACAGTGCGAGCCAGGGCCTCAAAACCAGAGGTTTACACTCCGTTTTACAGTAACTCCTGCAACCTAGCGCCTTCGCTTCCACCCTGTCGTTCAGGCAGGCCGTTTCAATGCATTTCAGAGCAGCTTTATCGCCGCTATGGACGCAAACGATCTGTTTTCGAGCTGCAGGAAGGGCGACGTTGCGAGAGTGAGGTTTGTACTGAACTCCGCTGGGACTGTTTTCAACTGTGAACTTGTTCCTGGATTATTTAGTGCACAAATAGCTTGTTTATTTTGTCAGTGTACACGCTGTTAGGTTCAGTTTTTGCTTATCAGGGTATCAACATCACTTTACTGAACATAAATGCATGGAGGAGGACTTTATCTTGAAGAACAGTACAGAATACGAGTAGTAAACAAGCACTACAAATAAGCATAAAGACATTGTCACACAGGGTTTCACGAATATATATTATGTACAGCATGCAAACTAAATTAAAGAGCCCCTAAGGTGACATGGTGATTATTTTATTATAAGGCAAACCTACAAATTAATATATTGAAGTCACAAGGTACTATATTGAGGCCACAAATTACTATATTGAGGCCACAAATTACTATATTGAGGCCACAAATTAATATATTGGGGCCATAAGTTATGAGAAACTTAACTTGTGGCCTCAATATATTAATATACTAATCTGTAGCTTTAATATAGTAATTCATGGCCACGCCTTATTAAAAAATAATCACCATGGCACATTAGGGACTCTGTATTAAATGCAGTTTATACAGTATTATAGATGCAGGTATGTCTGAAAATATCGCTTAAGACACAGACTGATGTGCTACAGGGATCTGTTTTGGATGTAGTCTTGTAAAGCTCATAGAGGCTGTCAGTTTCTGGCACTTCTTCATAACAATTAGGCCTAAAACCTTCCAGCACAGGCCTTAATCAGAAAGACCCAGATCATCACTTGAGGCCCATAGTACTGCGGAGTTCAACACTCTGCCTTATTTAGAGGAATAATCCATCGTTTACCCTCCAAAACCATATTTGTCCTGTTTTTATTGGCATGCAAGGCTGAGCAGTCGTCTTATGTCTTCTCATAAAGGCTCACTTCAGTCTGCAGAGAGTCTGCATGACAAAGCAAATACTAAATCTTGCTGTGGGATGTGAGAGCTTTTATACAGAGCAGATGGCGCCTAGTATTGGTTGTATGCTTTTAAAAACATAGGCCTATTAATTTCCTCTAGCATGCTTCTATAGTTAGTAGTTGCGTAATGAGTGCACAGTCTCGTACTTCCTATAAAGATTTATGCCAAAGAAATGTGTAAAGTGAGCGGCTGACATTGACAGATAGCAGGCTGTCAGCTGCAGTTTAGCCTCTCTGCCTCCTCTGACCTACTTTACTCCTGCAAAACAGCATCTAATTTTAAAGCATCTGTGTCATGGACCCTTGAACTGAATTTTCCTCATTTTTTAAATAGCATGCAGACATTGCTAAAGTTTCGAAAGGTACCATTTACTCTGTGTACGTTTATGGAAACAAAGCTGCAAAAAAGGGTCTGTTTTGAATGATTCTTATGATGTCATTTATTTAGATATGCCTATTCAGCCTTCAGCAGTTGAGCTCTGCCCACTCACACCGAAGAAAAGATGTCATTTACATACACCAGTCTTAAAAGGTGTAGTAACAAAAGCAGGCTCTTTAATTCTGAGGGTTAAAGAAAGCTTGTAAAATAGTCATATAAAGCAAATTATGACTGTTCGTACATAAAACCACACAAATGCCATAAAAAAGACCTCAGAGAAGAAATGAAATGCAAGAAAAATGTGGATATGGTCTCTTTAAAAAGTGATTTCTTGTCAGTTTTGCTGTTCAGGCTGCAGAACTTTTTGCCCTTATTAAAATGGCTCCCTACTGTGTGTTTCTCTCTCTCTCTCCCTCCTTCTCTCTTTATTTCAGATACCTGGTTGAACAGAGAGATGTGGAACTGAACGTGAGAGATAAGTGGGACAGTACACCTCTGTAAGTCCAGGCTCACATCACTGTGTTAAAAGGACAGTGCCTTCTGATATCTGCACATTAATCTGGCTGATAGAAAATGAGCATCTGAGCTGAATACCTCTCTCTTTGTCTGTGTGAAGGTACTATGCGTGCCTCTGTGGACATGAGGAGTTGGTGCAGTACCTACTGGCCAATGGTAAATATGAAAGATACTGAAACAATGACTCGCCCAAATTGCAGATTTTCTAATGTTAATCGACAGCTGGTGGAAACCAGTTAACTTGAAACTATTTGCACACTTCCATTAGCTTAATTAATCAAATATTTATTGTCTGGAAAACTGTAATTAATAGTCAGCGGTTTGTTGGACTGGAAGGTAGTCAGGCTTAAGGAAGTACGACAGTGCTGTTCTGGACAAAATTCCCAAACTGTGAAAGAATTCTTTGATCACAAGTTAAAATTGGTGATCTTTAAAGGTTTAATGTGAGAATCTGTGACAGTTAAAAAGTGCCTTTGGGACCAAAAACAGCCTACAGCAAAGTTCTGGCAGAAAGCGAGCAAGTGAGAGACGATAGTTGGATGGATGGATGGATGATGGATGGAGAGGTCACATTTATTTGTATAGAGTGTTGTTGTCACAGCTTTATAGAGTCCAGGCCCCCAGTGAGCAGGCCTAGGGTGACTGTGACAAAGAAAAACACTGTAAAAGTGAAAACAAAAGAAAGGTTGAGAGGAACTCTGACCCTGTTAACACCTGATCACTTCATGCGTCGTGAGTACCAGGATTATAGCTGGATTAGACCAAGCCACATAAAAATGCAAGTGTGAATGCGCCCATTTATAACAGATACAAATCTGATCGCTCAGACCACTTTAGGAGGTGGACTGAGGTACATGTGAGTCACATGTTATATAAACATAAACGCATCTGTCTAAGACACATTTGATAACCAAAACCCCTCCCAGTGCGACAGAAACTCCTCCCCATGCAGTACATCACTGGGCATATGATCTGTGTCTGTGAGACAGATAATCATAGAGGATCACATGGTTGCATACCAGACTAAACGAAATGCTTATTAGCAATGTGGACAGACACTACTGTGCAAAACAAACTGCAGACGAAGAGGCTGAACAAATAAACGTTTGGTAATTGGTTGCTGCATAATGAGTGGATTTGCATATTCTGTTACACACAGCAATCGTATATCAGTCCAACTAACCGGAAACGCATTTGACTACCTAGTGTAAATGCATGTGGCTAAAATGTTACCAGGATACGATCCAGATATTCGTCACGTAAAGTGAACAGGTGTAAACAGGGTCTGAGACTCAAAAAGGGAACCCATCCACCTGTGGTTAACTGTAATGGGCAGACCTCAAGCTCACTTTAGAAAATGGGTATTCCAGGTTGCCCTCTTTTCCCCAGCCATCAATTGCTCTTTGCCATTTTTTTATCACTTTTCCCCCAAGATAAACATTGGTGCTATTATGCTGAGAACTCAACTGAGGCCTGACTGTGGACCGATACTGACTTCAGGGGCTAAAAATTCAGAAACATTCATTAATGATAATGTCAGTGGATATAATATACATTTACATTTTAATTTGATAATCCAATAATTACAGTTAAACAATGCTGTACTGATAGGTAACTTCTTAAGCGCAAATAAATAGATGAAACTCACAGTCTTAAATAATACATTGTAGCCCTGGTGTGGAGCTACCCAGAATGCTTTGCACTTTTGGTTTCTGTTTATTACCTGTATAAACAGATATCAAAGTCAGCACAGTCTGTCGCAGAGTTTGGCCAAAACTTCATTGCAGTGTGATATGCAATAAATGTATACAATCATATGCAAAAGTTTTGGTACCCCTGGTCAAATGGCGTGCTTTGCTGCTGAGTAAAAATCAGTTAATACATCCTCTATAGAGAATACACTTCTGCACATTTTAATTCAATTACTGTTTATTTGCTGAATTTAGTGTATTGAAAAAAAGTGTGGCTTGTGCAAAAGTTTTACACACGCTTTATATCTTTTGCTTTTTTCCAGTACATTAAACTCAGCAAGTAAATAGAAATTGTGCACTAAAATTTGCCCGAAAAATGCCTTATTTAAGTTTGTTCCCTGTAGAATATGTGTGAACTTATTTTCACTTTGAAAATCAAAAAAACATTTAATCCACTAGGGCTGTTTAAAGTTTTGTATACAACTGTAAGACTGCAGTTATTGCAGTTTACAGTCAAAAGAGTTTAAAAGCTTGTGCATATGACTTGATAAGTAGCATAAAAACATGTTTCTGATAAAAGTCTGTTCTTTTGCTTCTCCAGTTTTGAGTACAAGCACACCTGAGTACAAGTGCAAGCTTGCCTTGCAAAGTTTTTGAAATACCAACTACTAAATTTGGCTGTAAATGTATCCTCCTTGTATTTATAGTTGTGTCTAGTGACGTCCAGGTCCTGCCTGGTTGCTTGGGATCTGCAAAATTAAATAAAAATGCTTAATTGAACAAAAACAAAGCAAAATCACTGACAAAATACTGTTCAGATATCCTAAGTAATTGGAAGTCACTGCACTTGTTCATCTATAAATTACTCTGTGCCGTTGTGTAACTATTGCTGATTATACATGACTGGACATTTTGCAAAATTTGAGATTTTTTTTATTATGTATTTCAAATGAACAAATTTAAATATTTGTAACCCCTCTCAGGCGCCAAGTGTGAGGCGAACACGTTTGATGGCGAGCGCTGTCTGTACGGTGCTCTAAGTGACTCCATCCGGCGCCTGCTGAAGGAGTACAAACGCATCACAGCTAAAGCAATGCAGAGGGACTACTACGAGCACTTCCTGCAGACGTGAGATAAAAACACACCCGCTCACACTGTCTCATCTACTTTAACCACACACCTTTACTCCACACACACAACCACACTAACAGGCAGAGTTTCATACACTCTCGCCCTCAGGTGCTCTCACATGCTTACATTCCACATTCTCACACTGTAACGTCTTACAGGAACATAAACTTACAGCTGCTAGTTTGAGAGCTTTACTGCCTGCCAAACATTTTTCATTACACCTATGTATGTATGTGTGTGTATATGTATGTATATATGTATATGTATGTATATATGTGTATATATATATATATATATATATATATATATATATATATATATATATATATATATATACGTGTGTATGTATATATATGTGTGTGTATGAAGATGGTCGTGTTTATGTCCATCTGCAGACTGTTGGAGCAGGGCTCATACAGTGACGTGACGTTCATGGTGCATGGTGAGATGTTCCGGACGCACCGCTGTGTCCTCAGTGCTCGCTCTGAGTACTTCGCCCACATGCTGGAGACCAAGTGGAGAGGCAAGACCATGATCGCTCTCAAGCATCCACTGGTGGGCGCTGTTTCATACAATATACATGAACAATGTTACTGTAACTGTATTACCAGTTCTGGCACTGCATGTGCTAACCATAGTCCGATTATTCACTTTTTAGTCTTAAAACATTTTTCTGTAGCTGCTATAAAACTAATATGCATGTTGTGTAATGAGGAATTGAAATGTGACTCCTTAGACTTTAAAAGGGTTAGCATGTATGGAGCCATGTATGGAATTATTAAGGTGTAAACAAGGTGTGAATGAGATGTCATGTTCATCACATTTCACGTGATTCCATACATGGCTACATACATGTTAACCCTTTAAGGTCTAAGGAGTCACACAAACCTACAGACTCAGATTTCTTTACAGTGGTGGTGATAGCAACCAGGTGTCGCAGTGACAACAACACGCATATAGCCATTTTGGAAATAAGTGCCCAGCAGTGTTGCACAGATGACCGCTGAGTGAGCAGACTCTCCTAAAGGACTGTGTTATTATTAACATTACAAAGCAAACAGTATTTTTCAGTCACTGAAAAGACTGTAAGGTTTTTTCTTGTCTTGTTGTTCTTGTAATGCTAATGTGTTGATTGTGTGTGTGTGTGTGTGTGTGTGTGTGTGTGTGTGTGTGTGTGTGTGTCATCAGGTAAACCCTGCTGCATTCGCTGCCATCCTGCAGTACTTCTACACTGGTGAGCATCGCTGGAGCTGGAAAATGATAAAAACGCTGCTTAAAGTGATGATTTGACCAAAAAAAATCAATATAGTTGATCAGTCAAGACATGTTTGGTGTCTGAAGTTTGTAGCGAGAGCTACAGGGCTAATGTAGCTAACAATATAGCTACCAGGTTAACATTGTTCGAACTTCATGCGTAAATAATCACACACTTGCTTTAAATGATGTCGAGTTTATATGTAATCTCACATAGACCTGCTTTAATGATTTCTGAGACTTTGACATATTGTTATTCATAAAAATGGGCAAAAAAACAGACAAAATTCAGGCTTCTAGATGGCTGCTACTACTGGTTTTACCATTTGTATATTTAACGTTGTGTTATATAATGTCAGAAGCAACAAAACCAGTCTACTTGACATTACTTAGCAACTCAAGGTAGTTTGATGCAAGTGTGATGAGTTAGTCATGTAGTTTGCAGTTACACAGGCTGTCATTACTTGTTTACCACATCAGTCTTGTAAATCAAGTGCAAAACAAAAGAATCACACATCAGACACTAAACATGTCATACTGCCTCATCGACTGCTTTTGATGTAAGAGTCAACTCTCTAGATTTTATTTATGCAAATCATTTTAAATTCAGTTTTAAAATAAACAACTATTCATGCAAGTTATCTCATTATTAATGTCATTCTGCTCTGTACTGGCCAGCAGCACAGCGTTCCTCAGTGCTCCTGTGCTCTGTGGTGTTTCAGGTCGGCTGGACATAGACATGAGCTACGTGGAGGACTGCAAGCGTTTGGCCAAGCAATGCAAAATCAGCGAGCTGATCGAGGAGCTGGAGGTCAAGTCCAAGCAGGTGCAAGAGTTTGGTGAGATGCTGCTGTTCCTGTCCAACACACAGGTCTAACATAGTGAGAAGCATGTACTATCCTTTCACAAAGAAACGTACTCACTGAGTGATTTCTAACCAGTATTGCTCTCTCTGTCCTTTCTCCTCTCTCTCTCTTTTCATGATTTTCTTATTTGCCTCTCATGGTCTCTGTTTCTTATTCCGTGTCGCTTTCTCTCTGCCTCACTGTCTTGTTTTTTTTTCTCTTTTTCTTTATTTCTCTTGTTTTTCTCCTCGGTCACTGGCTCTGTCTTTTTTCTCCCCCTCTCATGCTCTGTCCCCTTCTTTCTGTCTCTTTCTCTCTCTGTTCTTCAGTATCAAATAAGCCAGGGACGTGTGTAAAGGTGTTGACGCTGGATCCTCATGACTGGCAGCTGCAGGACGGCATGGCTCTGTTAGCCGATAGCGCTCTTCCAGCTGAACTGAGGGTGAGGCGTGTTTTTCCCTGCTCATTGTACACACACTGCGTTCTTGTTTTTATGCTGAGTAAACAATATTCTGTGTGCTTTTTCTTAGGTTGGTTATGGACAGCTTCCTTTCGATCTTACTGACAGCTTCCCGAGTTACCCTGACGTCTGCTTCCGGGTGGAAGGATATGACTTTCTGTCTCATAAGGTGATTGAGCATCAGCTGAAAGTTAATACTGTAGTTTTTATCACTTATCTAAGTTTACCTACATATAAACTTTCATAGGAACCGCAATTCACAGCCCCACCCTTAATGACTTGCATATTAGTGTAATCATAGTTACTGAAAAGTTCGTAGTAGTTATTGAATAATAAGTCTTAAGATTAATAGCTGATTAATAAGCCTGCAGTGTACAGGTTAATTTTGCTTAGAAAGATCAACCATGTTAACTAAACCTGTATGTGTTTGTCTGTCCACAGGCTTTTTTCTGTGGCCGTAGTGATTATTTTAAGGCTTTAGTGGAAGATCATTTCAGTGAAGGAGAAACCCTGCAGTCTCTCCCAGGAGTTCCTGTCATCACCTTACATGATGTTTCTCATGATCTTTTCACCAGGATCCTCTACTACATCTACAGCGATAATACACAGGTACTCATACATACGCACATATTATATACTTCTATTTCACATACATCATTTTCTTTTGCATCCCACCAGTACAATTTAGGGCTGTCAAACGATTGTGATAATTAATCACACATTATTATTTTGTGTATTTAATCATGATTAAAGCAGTGCTATGTAATATATGGGGATTTGGAGACCCCTTTGGTGAAAATGTGTAATTGCATGAAGTGTGTGGAAGAACATTTTGCGTTTCGGACCCCTTCGCCAAACAGGTGAATCTAATGATTGTGAGCACATTGAAATAGTATTCAAAGAGAAGTCAGTCGAAATTTGGTGAAGGATGTGTCTTAGATTTAACACAGTCCATCACCGACGTCCAGAGAAAGCAAAAGTAGCTGTACGTTCCAACCAATGAGTGTATATTTCATATATATCATATATACAGTCAGTGTGTGTTTGTAGACTCTCGCTGTCATTCATAAAGCTCTGGGATTTTTATTACAGTGGAGGCTCTTGAGGTGAACAGGGGCTCCTCTTGTCTGTTGCTGTTGTTAGTTTGCTGCTCATTGATCTATCCATAGTTCCCAAATGGGCACTGTGCAGCGTAGTCTGTAAAAGGCGCCTTCCAGTTCTTACTGATATTCCCGGTATCAGCAGTTTGTTTTGCTTGTAAATGATACTTCAGATTCAATATACTTCAGTGATAAATAGAATTACAACATGACTGGAAGACAGCTGGAAATATCTTTGGTTTTATTAAGAGAGCCATCAATTGAGCATGCTAATTAAAAGCTGTATTTGAATGAAAGGGCTAGCGTCACGGAGACGGGTTTATCAAGATTATAGAGCAACTGGGCTTTAGCCTGGAACTGTGTAGTGTAGACAATTGTGTTGATGATAGTTATCACAGAAATGCATTTGTTAACATGTTAACTTTGACAGCTTCAACAAATTTTGTACAATTTAATTCCAAATATTGTAACAACTGCATGTTTTAAGGGTCCATATCCCATTTTTCTTGCACTTTGAGGTCCACTTAAGTTTTTTGTACTAGAATTTATTTTTGCATGACTCTTCCAACTCTGTTTGTCTCTCATTATAATTAATCAGTTGGTATTTGCTACTGTGCCTTTAAGACTGATGTATGTATTGTGCCTCATTCTAAAATAGTCTGGGCTAAAACACTCATTATAACTGCAGCATGAATTGGTGGAGCTAAATAGGTGTAAATGTGACATCACAAAAACAATGAATTCAGTGAATTCAGAACAGGCTGTTTTTGCTGCTCAGTTTACACACATGGACTACGAGGAATTGGATGGTATGTTTTGGAATGTTTGCAGTGTTTATGTGTGACATCAGAGTCTTTTATTTCAAGAAATTGAGGAAGTTTCAAATGTTAGTTATATGGGTCCTTTAACTAAAACAGACATATTTACAGTATGAGTGAAGTAGTGTTTCAGGGACGTTTCCCCAAAGCAGGATTTCTCAGTTAGCCAGGTAACATAAGCTCAATAGCAAGTCTGCCAGTTAGAGGAGGGCTAGGATATATTGTTATTGTACGAATGTTCTGCACAATGAAATGTTTTCTAGTTTTCAGTTAATTATTTTTAATGACAGACTAATAAAGATAAACCTGTATTATTTGTGGTGTAATGTTCCATTTTTGTGTGTGTGTGTCTTTTACAGCTATCTCATGATAACGTGTATGAGGTGCTGTGTGTGGCGGATATGTACCTGCTGCCTGGTCTGAAGCGTCTGTGCGGCCGCACGCTGGCGGCGCTGCTGAGTGAGGAGAACGTTCTGCACATGTGGAAAACAGCCAAACTCTTCAACCTCTCGCGTCTGGAGGACCAGTGCACTGAGTACATGGCCAAGATCATTGAGAGGGTGCGTTACACGCTTGTTTGTGAGCATGTGTGTTAAAGGTTTTATCAGACTGGGACATTTTTGATCCGAACCTAAATATAGCCCGAGAACATTCTGTCTGACTCGATACACGGTACCAACTTCAGAATCCAAACCTGAATAGCCCGACAGAATTCTGTCTGAAACCGAATGTAGCCAGATATAATTCTGTCTGAATCTGACTGTAGTCTGACAAAATTCATTCTGCATCTGACTTTAGCCTGACAGAATTCTGTCTGAATCTGACTGTAGCTAAAAGAATTCTGTCTGAATCCGACTTATAGCCCTACTAGGCTACGTTCACACAGCAGGTAAAAGTGGCCCAGATCTGATTTTCTCACCAAATCCAATTTTTTTGTTTGGCTGTTTACAATGTCTTTTAAATGTGACCTATATGAGACATTAGTCTGAACAGATCAGCTCCTAAACAGACCTGCATGCACGAAAGAACAGTGCATCACTTTGCTTCACGTTGTTTCAGAGGTAAACAATCATGACCGCCAGCGAGCACCAGTCGCTCCCAGAGGGTTCAGTTTCATCTTCGCCAGCATCACAGGAGCAGTTATGAAGCTTCACTTACTGACAGCTGAACTCATCACCCAGAATGTGTTCGAGATTGCCGCAAAAAGGTCGCGGTCATTTCTTCGGTGTCCTTGGATTCTTTAAACTTTGCTTTCAGATTTTTAACTGAAAAGGCCATTTCTTTCAAAATCTCTTCAAACATGGAGGGGTTTGAATAAGTCCCTTCTAAATAACATGACCCCAAATGTTTGAAGTAGCATGAAATTATGACGAATGTGTCGTTAGATTAACGTAAAAGTCGCATGAAGTCCGATCTGGCTGTTCAAACTGAGTCGCTCTTCCGCACATTGTATATGTATCGGATTTCAATACCACATACAAAAACGTCCCGAATCGGAAGCGGGTGAAAATGCAGGCCAGAATCAGTTAAATGTTAATCCCAAACCTGAACAGTGTTTGTCTGTTGTGGCAGAAGGCGTCTGATCTGTGAAACATGAAAATGAATAGGGTTATGGAGAGCAGTGTGTGTGTGTGTGTGTTAGCATCATAGGTTTGCTGCTCTTTTGAAGATGAAAAGGAATCTGATGACAGAAAATTAATGTTTCTATGTTTGTGTGCTCTTTTGTGTCTTTGATCCTGAACCTGTGCTTGTGTCTTTGTCTAAGCTGGTGGAGAGGGCGGAGTTTGCGGAGTTGATCAGAGAGGATGCTGGGAGCGTAGCGGCGCGGCAGGAGACGGACTCCATCCCCCTGGTGGATGAAATCCGTTACCACATCAGCAGCAACGTTCAGACATACAGCGCCATAGAGGAAGCCAACCAGAAACTACACGCCCTCGAGCTACTGCTCAACTACATCGGCCTGGACTGCTAGAGCGAGAGAGAGAGAGAGAAGAAGAAAGAAAGAGAGAGGCGCAGGAGAAGGAGGGGTTGAAAGAGAGAAAGAAAGAGAAAAGCTGAGAGATTGGACTGAGGAGACAGAAAGAGCAAGAAAAAAAGCAGAGGAAGAGTGTTACGCGTGTAGAGAATGAGGCTGTGCGTGTGAGTGCATTTGTCGCTGAAGCGGAGGATGCACAGGATGATAAAATGAGAAATGATGGTGACGCGCTTTCATTTTTTGCAGAAATAAATGGGCTAACTCAGCAGCAACCTATTTTAGATCGTAACAGCCGGCACACATGCAAGCAATAGAATACCGTGCTGGTTTGCCTTGAGTCGAGTTTGAAGAGCCTCTAGTTTACTCCTCATTAATACTTTGGAAATATTTTTCCTAAACAAGTCAACTATTATGTTCTTAGTTTGATTACATAGTAATATAGCTATGGCTGACATAACTGCCCTTTATTTTGATGTGCTTATGTTTAGCAAAAGTGCTTCCACTAGTGAGGTCATCGAGATACGCACTGAAATTCAGTTTACAGGCTCAGCAGTGGGTTTTTAGGTTCAAATTAATATATAATACAGAGTGCAGGCTTTTCTGGAAATTTATTTGACTACAGAGAGATGTTTGGGTTTTTTTGTTTATGTATTAAAAAAAAATAATAATGATTTGAAGAGGGGTTTGGGACATCTGTCATGTAGTGAATTGCATGAGTGCAGAGATGGAGCATATTATGTCAGAGTGGTGGAGAATTAGGGCTTTACCTATAAATAGATGCTTCCACAGCATTTTTACATCAGAGAATCTAAAATGACTCATTTAGTGCTGTTTTTGCTGACATTGAAGGCAGTGAGCATTCTATAGTGCTTGGTTACCTGGATAAGGTCTATAAAACCTCAAATGTGTTGGATTTTGGGCGTATTGGAAATATTTGTTTTAGATCTCTCATGTATTAACCGGTGCAACATTGTATAACACAGTCTTACGTGTGTGATGTTAATCTGGCTGTGGTGCTGTTATTTTGTTTTAGCTTAGTTGATTTTATTTTATTTTACAGTGCTTTGTTGTCATTCTGTGGTGGCCTTTGAGGCCAGACTGCATCATCTCTTATTTAGGTCTTTAATGTCCCTGGTGTCCGCTGGCTTTGCGGTGTGTCTGTGTGAGGATGAGTGAGAGTGTGTTGGTGATTGGGGGGAGCAGTTTGGTCCAGATCCTTTACAGATAGCCCGGTTTTCCTGATGGCAGTTCTGTATCAACACATTAAATGTGTCTGCTTGATATAAAACAATGTGCACAGAAGCTAATAAATAACATACATTATGAAGATCCATTTTGTCTATGCTGGTTTGTTTTGGGGACTTGAAAGAGAGAGGCGTGCGCTGCTCAGGTTTGCCTCCAGGGGGCTGTAGGTCCATGTTCTTGGTGTGGTCATGACCTGACATTTGCAGAGAAGAGCAGTTTGTTTGCCTTCCTGCCCTTCATGTGCCTTCTGAACGTGTACAGTTGTACTTGGCATTTTTTTGGAGTCAGAGGTAGAACATTTACCTTAAATTTATAGGAGGGGGTCACTGTAAAATGAAATATATACAAGTATTCTCTTACTTTAATATAGGGTTGGGGAAAGTGTCTAATTGGGCCAGACTCTGCAATTAGATTGCAATGTTGTGACGGAAATTTAAATGTGATTATTTTCTATTCATTAAGCTGTTTTTTCTTGCCCAAGAAAAACAGCACTTTGTTTTTTTCAGGCTTAAAGAGCCCATAGGCTACATTTTTCTCCCTTATGACGCTTGTGCATGTTTATGTACCAAAAACAAACATAAATAATTTTTATATGCCAATTTTCCAGCCGCTCTTTATCCCCAATTAACTTACAATTGGCTGCCCTGTATTGTGCCTCATTCAAATAGCAGCTCGTGTTGAAACCCTGCTTATAACTTCAGTGTAATGGGCAGGGCTAAGCTGCTCTAGGTGGATGTTGGTTTTTGTGACATCACCGAAACCATGAATTCAAAACAGGCTGTTTTTGCACCCTAGAGTCCTATATGGAGTGAGGTATGAATGGTGTGTTATGAAACTTTAGGAATGTTTACACACTACATCAAACTATTGTTTCAAAAATAAGGAAATTTCAGTTTTCCATGATATGGGCCCTTTAAGGCTTGAACACTGGACATAATGTGCCAGCTTGCCAGTTCATAAGTTCTGCATTATTAGGTTAAATTTTCCCATCCTGTGAAGACTAAGTTGAATAATGAAGAATATAATTAAAATGTGTTCTTATAAATCACAATATGTTTATATTTTTCATCACTAAGCCCTACTGCAAACATACTCAATTAGCCAACACAAATTTGGTATCTCAGCACTCTCAGAAAAAAGGTACTGTACTGTCACTGGGGTGGTCCCTTCAAGGGTATGTCTTCAGTACCATTAGTTAGAGAACACAGTTGCACCATAATCCATTGCAATTCTATATTTTTAAATTGTATTGACTCCACACACCCTGTCTTGTCCCCATACTTACTTTGTTTTATAATGGGTGTATAAGGTATACCTCATGTAAGCTGGAGCTTAAAACCAGTGGTGTTCCTTTGAAGGCACATTACATGCACACTACTTTTTTCTCATAAAGTAAGGGTGTATATTGACAAATTACAATATCACTTGATGTTTTCACAATACATATTTATGTTTTCTGCAGAACTTCTTTTCAAAAGGCTGTCAAAATGTTATTTTTATTTAACATTTCACATGCTGCACTGCACTAAATCCAGTTAAACAGAACCAGTTATTCTCCCTTTTAAATGTAGTATTGTGACATAATTTATTACAGTATGCCAATATATGTCATAATGCCTAGTCTCTAGTTTGCTTCTTTAGTTTTCTGCTGGAGCTACAACAACAACAACAACAATAATAATAATAATAATAATAATAACAATAATAAACATTATTTACATAGCACATTTCCTACTTTTAAATCTTAGTTCAAAAAGGGCTAACAAAGTAATCTAAAAACAACACCGAATGAAAAGAAACAAGCAGTAGTCAAATTAAATCGGCAAACAATGAGATGCAACAAATAAGAATAAAAGTACTTTTAATTTTTAATATTTAAAGTTTTTTTTATTTTATACGTGGAATATACAGAAGCCCTGGAAGCACTGAATGATCTTAAGGCATGATTTGATTTATCATGCATTGAGATGTATGAAAATGCTATATCAATAAATTCTTCCTGTTCCTTCTGGAGCAGGAACTGGTCTTTCCCAAACTGTTGCCACAAAGTTGGAAGCACATAATTGTCTAAAATGTCTTTGTATGCTGTAGCATTAACGTCACCCTTCACTGGAATTAAAAGGCCGAGCCCAAACCCTGAAAAACAGCCCCAGCCCATTATCCCTCCTCCACCAAACTTTACTGTTGGCACTATGTATTGCAGTAGGTAGCATTCTCCTGGCATCTGCCAAACCCAAATTCATCCATCAGAAGGCCAGATAGTGAAGCATGATTTAACACTCCAGACAACACGTTTCCACTGCTCCAGAGTCCAGTGGTGGCGTGCTTTACTCCTCTCCAGCTGACGCTTGCCATTGTGCATTGTGATCTTAGACTTGCAGCTGCTCGTCTATGGAAACCCATTTCACGAAGCACCTGGTGCACAATTCTTGTGCTGATGTTGCTTCCAGAGGCAGTGTGAAACTCTGTAATAAGTGATGCAACAAAGGATAAGCAGTTTTAACACATCCATTTCACAATAATAGCACTTACAGTTGACTGGGGCAGATCTAGCAGGGCAGAAATTGTACAAACTTAATTGTTTAAAGCCACTAAACTCTTTAGTATGACCCATTCTGCGGGCAGACATTGCTTGTCTATGGGAATTGCATGTCTTTGTGCTTGATTTTATACACGTGTTAGCAAAGGGTGTGGCTGAAACACATGAACCCAATATTGAGGAGGGGTGTGCACATATAGTCATATATATATGGTCATATAGTCTAGACTTCCATTACTTGTTAGCTGCATTTACCTCTTAGATCCAGTGCAAAAACTAATGAAGCAAACAACAGATACCAAACATGTCCAACTACATTTGCAAAAACAGGAAATTTGTGCAAATTAGTTTCAGCATTCCTTCAACTCAAAATGACAAGTACTTCTTTAGTCATAGGGACACTAAACAGATTTCAAACTCAGTTTATCTCCATGGTGATCAGGCCTTAAGTCTTTTAGTAATTTATTACTTTCTGGAAACAAGGACTTCTTCTCGCAGTCTATCAAGTGAAAATCAGTTGAAATAATGTGTGTGTGCACAGTACCTGCGTGTGTGGGTGTGTGTGGGCTGGCAGAATCAGTGTTGGAGAGTGGTTCACTTTTTAATATCTCTATGCTTCCCACTCCCCTGCATCTACCTAACACTTGTTTATTTAGCTCAGCTCAAACATTTCCCTATAGTAACGTCCCCTCACATGTTCGTGCTGGCGCTCTGTTTCTGTTATAGACAGAGGAAGGTCCTCGTAGGGCTCTTTTTTCTTTTATGTTTCTCTAGGCGACAGGAGCAAGAGGATCTCCATGGCAACTGGCTGGAGGAGAGACGGAGCGAGAGGTTGACGGAGCAGAATTTTCTTTTCTCTGACACACATTCGCAGCACCTCAGGACTGAGTCACGATCCAGCGCAAACACGTCATGATGTCCAGTCCAAGCAGACCCAGCAGGCTGCTTGTAAATGTCTTCAATTTGAGCATGTTACTCATCCGCGCTCTGATAAACTCATTGTTTCCAGATCATAAGCCCAGTGTGACCAGAGTTATGATCTAATGTTTATATTTTGCGTCTTATATCTTCTGTTTGGTTTGTTTATCTTGCACTGTATCAGCATAGTCTTATGTGGTTGAGATTTTACGTTGTATATTGTCATTGTCATATAAAATTTCCACTTGTTAACCTCAGATGCCCTTTACATTGGGTGAACATTTCATTATGATGAATTAAAATGACCCCAAATGGCCCAAAAGTGTCCAGACAGCCCTTCTAATTTGTGAATGCAGCTACTTTAAGGTGCACAACTTGTCTAATCTCCATAGTAAATCAATGACCATTAGAATGGGAGGCTCTAAAGTGAGCCGGAAGTGACCATGCCTAAAGTGTCAGCTCGAGGGGTATAAAGCCCCCCAGCATTGGGCTGTGGAGCAGTGGAACTGTGTTCTCTGGAGTGATGGAGCTCCATCCAATACCTCTGGGATGAGTTGGAGTGACCCAGAAATAATCATCCAACAACAGTACCTGACCTCACTAATGCACTTGTGGTGGAAATGAAAGAAAATGATTGTTGATCCAAGGAGGAAGCAGGAGCTGCACACACCCCTGTACATAGGTGAGACAGAGGTGGGGAGGGTGAAAACCTTCAGATTCCTTAGCATCCACATCAGTGAGGATCTCACCTGGTCTCACAACACACACCTCATCATCACGAAGTCCCAGCAGTGACTGTACTTTCTGACAAGGCTAGCACATGCCAGCCTAAATTCTCAGCACCTTCTACAGGAGTACGATCGAGAGTGTTCTTACCAGCTCCATCACGGTCTGGTATGGAAACTGCACTACTCAGGACAGAAAGGCTCTCCGGCGTGTGATCAAAACTGCACAGTCCATCTCAGGAGCAGCCTTCCCCTCACTACAGGACACTTATCACACCAGGGTCATCAGGAGGGCCCACAACATAATCAGGGACAGTACACACCCCCTAGCACAGACCCTTCACACTCCTACCATCAGGCAGAGGCTACAGGAATGTGAAGTCCAGGACTGACAAACAGTTTCTGTTCACAGGCCATCAGGCTTGTGAACACCTCACTCACTACCTCTTCCCCCCTCCCACTCTGAACTCTTTATGAACCACTACTCTACATATTGGCACATATGCACATGTAACTTTAATTTTTCTTTTAACTTTGCACATAAAAGCTCTACTTTTTTTTCTTTTTTACTTTTTTTACTATTGTTTTTAGTGTTATTCTTATATTTTCTATTTTTTGTTCTTTTTTTTTTTCTAAGATTATATTAAGATTATATTTGGTGAATGAAGGAACAGTAAAGTAAGAATTTCATTGTACAGAGTAACTGCCTGTTTCTGCTGTGCATATGACAATAAAACTCTTGAATTATGAATGCAATCAAATTCTCAGAGCAGTGTTGTAATACCTAGTGTAAAGTTTTCCCAGAAAAGAAGAGGCCGTTACTGCAGCAAAGAAGGACAAATTCCATATTAATAGCCTTGATTTCAGAAGAAACTCTGGACTAGCAGGTCTCTACAAACCTTTGGA